ACCAGGTTGATGGACTAGATGGAATGGACAGTAAGGACTGACACGACCCGAGACCAGGAAGAAGAGACGTTGGATGAAGATTGGAAGAAAATTTATAAAGAATTTTTTTTTTCTCTAGGGAATTAGCCTAAAATTAATTAATATTAGGGAAAATGTTGGAATGAAACTATATGACTCTAGTAGAAATGATATCAGGAGTTATGTATAATCGAGTATTAAGCTTTAAGCTCAAAAGTATTTTATGGTAAGATAAGGTTAAATAAATTAAGGTAATTTGAATAACAGAATATGGGGAAAAGATGGAAAGGATTTGTTGAGTTAATTAATAGGTTAAATTGTTAAGATAAATTATTTAATAAAAATTGAGAAAGATGGAAAGAATTTGCTGAAATAACTAATCAAACTAGAATACAAAAAGGGAGGTGTGAGGAGGTCAATGAAACAAGCAAATGGAAGTTAAAGATATGTAATATGGGATTTGTGTCTTTCCCCCCCTTTTTTTTACCTTTTTGCTGTATTGTTGCATTGGTTTTTATGTTTTGTTTTGTTTTCTTCTTTTTTATGTATTGTAGTGTTGTTTTTAATTTTTTCTTTTTTTTCTGTAATTTTGAAACTATTAATAAATATTATTAAAATAAAAAAAAGATTTGTATAACAGTATTATGACACCAGCAATTTTATTTTCAGTACCTTTGTTAATGATGCCTAGCATGGAATTTGCTTTTTTAACAGCTGCAACACACTGGGTCAATGGGTTATCATCTTAATTGAGCTGTCCACTATGACCTCAAGGTATTGTTCCTAGTCAGTCACTACCAGTTCAGACTCCATAAATGTATATATTTGACACTAAGGTTGGTTTTTCCCAATGTGCACTGAAAGTTTTTTTTTTAAGTTGTGGTACACTATGTAAACTGGATTACCTATATATGTTTATTGACCCTCTCAGAGGACCCTAGTAGATTAGTGAAATGGGACTAATTGTCATGGAAGCCATACTGGTTCTGGTTCAAAACTTGTTCTTCTATATCAGGTGTGGGGATCCTTTGGCCCTCCAGATGTTGCTGAACTACATCTCCCATCAGCCCCAGCAAGCATGGCCAATGGCAAGGGATTATTAGAGTTACAGTTCAGCAACATCTGGCAGGCCAAAATTTCCCCACACCTGTTTTATCTGCTTGGTTATTTTATCTTTAACAATACTTTCCACCAGTTTTCTCAGAACAGACATAAAACTAACAAGATTCTTTTTTAAACATTAGTGTTACATTGGCCACTTTCAAGTGAGGTATGGAGACAGATCTTAGACACAAGTTACATAGTTTGGTTAGACTATTGCAATTTCACATTTGAATTCTTTAAAGACTCTTGGGTGGATGCCAACTGGACTGCGTGATTTGCTAAGTTTTCATTTTGTCAATAAGGACTAGAACGTCATCTCTCACTGCAAACACTGAAGCACTATGCTTCAGGTGAGCAGGGAGGTGGCAATTTGCACACCTATTTTATATGATGCAAATCTAAACTTGAAAGGGAGAGAGAGAATGCCAAAGCCAAGTAGCAACTTTATATCAGTTCCTTGTCTTTCAATGTGCATTTCCAGTTCAGACTACTTTTGCATTTTGTTTGAAAGGTGGGAAGATTTTAGAAGTGGCTGCTTGTCAGCCTGGGGCTGCCACAGTTTGCATATGTACATCAAATAGCAATTAGTGGGCTTGTTTGCTTTGAAGAGTTATCTCCTCTTAATACAAAAGTATTTGGGTTCATATTTGCAACATATGGAACACCTCAAACTAAATGCCTCTAAAAACCAATCCTTATGTAAAATGCAGTATGCCTAGCAACTGTATTCCATGAATAGTGCAGTCCTAAAGATGTTTATTGAGAGGCAAGTCCCACTTTGTTGAAAGGTGCTTAATCCCATTTAAGCATGCACCACAGCACACCCTAACCAACTGAGCCTAGGGTTGTCTCAAATTTGTCATTTGGAAAGTTTGTCTATTTGTCAACTACTCAAGTATTTGATACGTTTGACATTCAAGATGCATGTCTTCAATATTTGATAGTTGACAATGTCTTCAATATTTGATAGTTGACATGCTATAGTATTTGTTAAATTGTACTTTAATGAGGTTTGAATTGTTTTAATCCATGGGGTTAACTGCCTTTTATACTTAGTTTGGAAGGCAGTTTGCAGTCTTGCTTCTCCTTTCTTTTCCTCCCCCCTGCTGCAAACTGTATGGGAGCCCTCCACAAAGTGCATTTGGACCACAGGTTGAAGGTTCACCATCCCAATATATACTTCAAGAATTTGTGGAGAGAAAAAGTGAACTCCAGAAAGCACACAGCTCCTTCTTTCCCACTGCTCAGCTACTGCCTGCAGATCAACCCAGAAGGAAGCTTACCCGGGAGGAATGGTTTTAAACCCTTCTAGTTTTGATGTCAAATGGTTTTTGGATATGTGAATGCATACAAATGGGTCATCCTCACCTACTTTTGGCTCTGGTCTACTCACCATCACCATACACAGATGATTCCCCACCTATACTTTAGATCTAGGATTATTTGAGGAACTGTTCAACTGTTAAGTGCTTTTTCAAGAGATTTTGCTTTAAGTTATTTATGCAATTTATTTTGTGTATTACTACTACTACTACTACTACTTTGGGTGAGACATGTTTTAAGTCAGATGCCACACTTCACTTTGTTTTCGATTATTTTGTTTTACAAGAAGAACCATGATATCTCATCAACTGGAGATGGGTGCAAGACATATATACTAAGAGGACAAAGGTTTGTTTTGAATTCTAGAACGGATCTAAGCTCACAGTCTGTTCCTAGTTACCCTAGGCTTTCCTCATTTTGGCTGTCCAATTTAATGTGTGTGTCATTTTGTTGTTGATATTATTAGAACGGTGAGTCTGAAATGCTGAGGCACTGCAAAACACTTGAAGATATACTAGTAGAATGGGCTCAATCTTCTGCTCACCCTTGCTTAGGGGCACCATTGGTCCTCACTACCACTCACTGTGATCTGAAAGTATGTCTCAGAACATACACAGCATCTTGGATGTGCCACAGCTCAGTACTTTGCATGAAGGAAGTCTCTGTTGAATCCCTGGCATCTCTCGGTAGGGATAGTAATATCCCTTGTCTGAAACCATGGAGAGCTACTGCCAGTCAGAGCAGACAATACTGTGGTAGATGGACCAGTGGTCTGACTGTGTATAAGGCAGCTTCCTATACTGTATTCTATTTTGTTTGGCTTAAGTAATGCAAATTTCTTATCCTGCATGATACTGAGAGAGTAATGTGTCTAAAAAGCATATATCCTATAAGCAGATGTACAGTTGAGATGAATTCTATCTGCCAGACTCTCATCCTTGTACATACTGTACTGTACTCAAGTTAACAACTTTGATCTTCTATAAAATACAAAACAACAGAGCTCCCTCTAGCAGTGATTAACTGAAATATTTGAGTGACCTAGTTTATCAGTCTGAATGCTGCTGCTGCTTCTTCATTAAGTATGAGCTGTCCAAGTTCAAATGCTTTTTGGAGTTCTCTGAAAAAGAGCTGAACTTTTTATGCTTTATGGTGGCAGAACAAATATCTGCCATGAGGGGATTGCTAGTTAGGCAAAATAATACACCTGAGCAGAGTATTGACAGCTTCAGGATGAAGGACCTAGATTGCAGCATTTGCAGAGATAACTAGGCCAGAACTTAAAATGTGCACCAAATGCACTATTTGTTGAAACACAGCTTCCTAAACATCTGTTACCAGACACCTATATGCAGTACTAATTGCGGAGGGAAAACATTTATCTTTGCATCAAAGAGCACTTTCGAAACTCACTGGACCAATTTATATTCTACAGGATCAGGAAGAAAAGGAAGTATGTTGGTAATTACAGACAACACAAATCCTGGTTCTTTGCAAGTGCAGCTAACAGCTTAACCTTTGTGTTTTACATGGCTCTTCCAAAGTTATACCTCTTGTCTATGAAGATGAGAGTGTGAAGTTGGTTTCCTTTTCAAACTTTTTAAGATTATTTTTTCAGTTTCAACAGCAGGCCCATGAGCTTCTCTACACTGCTGCTACTTGGGCAAAGACATATCTCTTTTCCTGAGCAATTAACATGTGCAGGATTGGGGGGAGGTATGTTTGTGTGTGGCTGCTGACTTTTTGGACAAATCAGTTTTCTTTTACTGACACAAAGATCCATTTGTCCCTATCAACACTATTACCATAAAGTATCATGACTAAACCTAAAATAAACAGTACGTAGTCTGTTGACTCCAAGGTAAAGTCCAACGAATTCAGTAGGATTTACTCCTTTCTAAATTTTGTGCATGCCGCTTAAGATCAGATAATTAAAATAGTCTAATGTACCTTTTATTTCCTCTAGTAATTTCACAAGTTACACTTTCAAGGGCAACTTTACCATTGTGAACACTATAAAAATTAGTAATCAGATCTAGAATTCCGTGCTCCCGAAGCTGGCTTAAAAAACCGGTAACATAAACGTACAGAAAATAATAATGACCGCTAAAATGGACCCTGCTGAAATAGAAGTCCTCTCTCTTCTTACTAAAGTGCGGGTTAGCTGTTTACTTAACAATGCACTCTGTATGTGCTCAGAGACTTTATCGCCAAATGCTGTTTTTTTATTTCCCGGGATTCAAATTTGCAACTAAAAATAGGTTCCAAAATAACCCTTAAGGCACAGCAAAAAGCTGAACGACGACTGTCTTCCGTCCCTGGTGGCAGCAACGCCGCCTCCTCCTTTCAGAAGTAAACGAACAGTCCACGTGATTAGGCCGCACTGCGTGACTCTTCGCACGCTCCTCTCCCTCAAGAACTACCCGGAGCCCAAACGAAAACTTGCTTTCCCAGCAAGCTGTGCGCAGCCGAGCATGCGCTTAGTCCCCGAAAACTACAGCTCCCGACGTGCCCGCCCGGACCACAATTCCCAGGGGGTACCAGGCGGCGCCTGCGCGGTGGCAGCTGGCGCTCGGGCCATTTAAATGTGTGTGAGGGAGACGGTGAAATGGCTGCGCAGGTCGCTGCAGTGCGCGCCGTGTCCCGGGGCGCGGAAGAGACGCCTTCGCTCCCACTTGGCGACCGGCCGGGCAGGCCCAGGGGAGGGGGGAGGAAGCGGAAAGGCCCGCCGGGGGAGCTCGGAGGGTGCAAGAGGGCCAAGCTGAGCCAGCAGCCGCTCGTGGTGGGGCCCGCTCAGGCGGAGCCGCCGCCGCCGCTGCCGCCGGCCGCCGTCCCCGGCCTGTCGGCGGCGCCCTCCGTAGCGTCCACGGCAGCGGGGCTCTTCACTTTCTCCCCCCTCAGCCTCCCCGCGCAGGCCCCGCGCTGCGAGCGGCGGCACCACCACCGGCACCGGCACCGCCCGGACAGCGCCGACTGCGAGCCCGGCCGCTCCTCCGGGGGGAAGCTGCACAAGGGGAGGCGGGGAAGCTCCGGCGACGGCGCCGCCGGGCGGCCCAGCAAGCGAGGTGAGCGGCGGTGGGGGGCGGGCGCCCGTCGGTCCCCCTGGGTCGAGTCTCCCTTCTGGGTCGGGGTCCTTGCCCGGCAGGTAGTCGCGCGCCCCACGCCCCTCGGTCTGTGGCGCCCCACGCCGGAGGTGAGCGACACCCCCCTGCTGCCTTTCAGCGCATCTGCCAGGTCCGGTTCCTGGAGGCCAGAGCGGGGGAAATGCATCTCTGTGCGTCGCTTGGCTATTAGATTCTGCATGCTGAAATTCGCGGCGGGATAGTGGGCCCAGTCAAAGGCAGAGGTCGCTGTATTTGGTTCTGGCGACGGAGGGTGCCCGTTCGAGCTGCCAGGTGGGGTGGCGGAGTTTGCTTCTTATATACCTGTTGGAGGACTTCACCTTCGTTTGTCAGTTGGCTAGCGACAGGCTGGCTTGCTAAGGCGCGTCTGACCCTGTCAGAGTTCCTTCTTGCCTTTTAAATGCTTGTGCTTGTCATTCCTCAGCTGCATTTCTTCACTACGTATTTAAGTTAATCTCTTGCTTTCCTCCAGATGTTGCATAGTGATATGTTTAGTTAGTTGCCCGTTTTGTTAAAGGTTAAAGGGTGAGCTAAAGTTCATTCTCTCTTGACACTGTCTTATCTGTCTTATCTTTATGCTTGCTCCTGATTTCAATTATGTAGTAGGATAGTAGCAGTGGGATTGCTCTATGCAGTGTGCTTCTTGAAACATCAGTCTTGTGGAAATAGAACTTAAACAAAGATAAAAGTGAACTTTTTAAAAAGAGCAAGTGTGGTGTAATGGTTAGAGTGTTGGACTATGATCTGGGAGACCAGGGTTTGAATCCCACTCAGCCATGAAGCTCACTGGGTGACCTTGGGCTGATCATCATCTCTTAGCCTAAGCTACCTCACAGGGTTAGGAGGATGAAATGGGGGGATGAGAACCATGTACACCACATTGAGCTCTTTGGAAGAAAAGCTGGTATGTAAACACACACACATTTAAGAAACATGGTTCTTAAGAGGACTGAACACTCATTAACCCAAGAAGTCCAACAAGTACATATGTTGGTACAAAATGGCTGTTTTTAGACTAGTGTTAGTGGGGTAGGTGTCCAGAACATAATATTGCAATATTATTTTTACACTTACAAAAAGTTTTGATCTGAACATTTTGTTTTTGATTCATTGAACAGTTTTTTTAGTTTTGCAACTTTTTAAAAAGTCAGTAGCTAAATTGTTTAATTAGGGATGCTGCATATTAAAGTCTGACATGCTTGTTGGGAGCATAAACATGTTATTGTGCAGACTTCTGAAACTTTCATGTGAGCATACCTGAGTCTTTTGGAATGCTTAAAGTGTATATATTTAATGTCTCTAACTCTTACAATATTTTTCATTTTAAAAAAGAGATGAGTGGGTTTTTTAACTGCCCTGCTTCTAGATAGCTTGCCCTCTTTTAGACAGTTGGCTATTCTTCAGAAGTCTGTGGTACTAACAGTTGCATATCTAGTTTTGGAATTGCTTTAGTAGAAACTTTTGATCTCTTCAGTACATGTGATCTGCTTGTGACATGTTTGTGAGTATCTCTGAAAAATCCCTGCGTATCTAATAGAATAGTGGGGCCTAATGCTAGTAGTACAATTCTAGCGACTGAAGGTAGCCATGGTGCTGTATCACTTTAGGCAGAATTTGTTTAATACTCCTATACATGTTTACTCAGATGTATGATCCAGTTGTTCAGTAGGATTTACTTTTGTGCTTAGTATTGCAGTCTAAGGATAGCTACCAAATCTCAAACAGAAACTTGAGATTTCTAGTTTGGAATACAGTGTGGTAGTTAATAACCATATTATGACACTAATGACATATTGATAAATGAAACAATAGCAGACCTATTATTATAGGACACTATAGTATTGTATTGTAGTGTAGTGTAATGTAATGATGACTTTTAACCTAGCCAGTTGTCAGCTATGCTGTGACATTTATTATAGACATGGAGACAAAAACCTTCTTTGTTCTTTTTCCTTGCTAATAAAGCAACACCATATTTAAGCATATAAGATTTGGATAAATGAACACATGAACAGTAAGTCTGTTAAATATCACGATGGCAGAAGATCCATCTCACTTGATGCCTATCAGTGCTGGTATCAAGAAAATTTATTGTAGGCCTGTTCTTCAGGAGAATATTTGAATGACCAAGATTCTTGGTATGTTAAGAACATATTATGAAGAGGATTTTGAAACTTGAAACACTTGTGTACAGTGAACAGTTAAAGAAAGTCAGTACTAATGTAAGGTAAGGCTCTTTCCATTTATTTTTCCTGTAGTGAACAGGATATAATCCACAAATTTTGCTTGCTGTATACTAGACTGAGAATATTTTAATTATTGCTCTCCTGTGATTTATTTAGTAGGACAAACCAATGTGGAATAACATCAGTAGTGAAATCCCACTTGTGGCTTGCAAGTAGTATTTGGGTAACTGTATAAGTGCACGATTAGACCTCTTAGTTTATGTGTCAGAAGTAGGGGGGGGGATGAAATTCATCACATTAGTTCATTAGAACACTGCTTAATATGTTTAGAATTACCTTTCAGTGAAAAATTAGAATCCCTCATATTCACTGTGGTTAGAATGCACTTACTATGAAAAAGAAGCATTGTAATGCCTACTGAACTTAGTTGAAACTGTTATTCAGAGGACACTCTTCAGTGAAAAAGAGACAGAAGAGCCTAATATTTTGCTCTATTGATGTGTGTTACTTAGGCCTTTGGCTGAAGAAAAACACTTCCACTTCCTTGATGACAGAGTTATATAATAAGACCTTTTTATTTTTGTACCATCACTTTGAATGCTACACACAGTCTCGCCTTTGTTTGCTAAAGATTTTTAAAGCACAGGCTCTTTTCATGCAAAGGTAATTGAGCTGTAGTAGGGCTACCTTGTCCTAGTTCTGCATTTACTGATAATTATGGCTCATTCTATAATACATGGCAGCAAGCCCAAGTTGGGTGTCATGTACATTCAACAGTCCTGGCTCTTGTGTGTACCTGCATAACACACTACTTTTTATATAACCACTCAGAAACGCTTGTGGCCAATCGTAAGAATGACAAGAACTGGATTATACCAGAGGTGCAGATAGTTTCTCATCTGAGAAGGCTAAGAAGCAGCTGTTCCTGAGCGAACAGCAGATGAAGTAGCTGGGTGCCAGAAATAATAGTGATTTCATGGCAGTACATAAGCCTTCCAAACCAATAGCTATAGTTAAAGAACATGGAAAAAGTGCTGTCAACTTCACTAGTGCAATCTTCTGTTACCTCAAAGACCAGAATATCCCCTGATGCAGGGTTTTCAATATTTACATGCAGCTGCTGGGAGAGATCATCAGGAGGTTTGGGTTGGGTGTTCATCAGTATGCAGATGATACCCAGCTCTACCTCTCTTTTAAATCAGAACCAGTGAAGGCGGTGAAGGTCCTGTGTGAGTGTCTGGAGGCGGTTGGAGGATGGATGGTGGCTAACAGATTGAGGTTGAATCCTGACAAGACAGAAGTACTGTTTTTGGGCGACAGGAGGCGAGCAGGTGTGGAGGATTCCCTGGTCCTGAATGGGGTAACTGTGCCCCTGAAGGACCAGGTGCGCAGCCTGGGAGTCATTTTGGACTTACAGCTGTCCATGGAGGCACAGGTCAAATCTGTGTCCAGGGCAGCTGTTTACCAGCTCCATCTGGTACGTAGGCTGAGACCATATCTGCCTGCGGACTGTCTCGCCAGAGTGGTGCATGCTCTGGTTATCTCCCGCTTGGACTACTGCAATGCACTCTACGTGGGGCTACCTTTGAAGGTGACTCGGAAACTACAACTAATCCAGAATGCGGCAGCTAGACTGGTGACTGGGGCGGCCGCCGAGACCATATAACACCGGTCTTGAAAGACCTACATTGGCTCCCAGTACGTTTCCGAGCACAATTCAAAGTGTTGGTGCTGACCTTTAAAGCCCTAAACGGCCTCGGTCCAGTATACCTGAAGGAGTGTCTCCACCCCCATCGTTCTGCCCGGACGCTGAGGTCCAGTGCCGAGGGCCTTCTGGCGGTTCCCTCATTGCGAGAAGCAAAGCTACAGGGAACCAGGCAGAGGGCCTTCTCAGTAGTGGCGCCCGCCCTGTGGAACGCCCTCCCACGAGATGTCAAAGCGATAAACAACTACCTGACATTCAGAAGACATCTTAAGGCAGCCCTGTTCAGGGAAGTTTTTAACGTGTGATATTTTAGTGTATTTTTGGTTTCTATGGAAGCCGCCCAGAGTGGCTGGGGAGGCCCAGCCGGATGGGCGGGGTATAAATAATAAATTATTATTATTATTATTATTATTATTATTATTATTATTTTATGAAAGTACTAGTAGTTTAGTCTTCTCTAATTTGGTGGAAATATATAGTTGGAAACCTTTTTGAGAACAGAAAAACCAGGACACTTATGTTAAGAATCAAGATGAAAGATGAGTCTGTATAGAATCCTTTCTCAAAGAGTTTGGGGTGTGGGTGTGTACCATTTATTTGTGGAATTCTAAGGTGGTGGACCTTCTTGAGAGCAGAGGGAAGAAGAGTAGGCATGTTTCAAAACTACCTTTGCTGTTACCTGATGCATTACTTGCAGATCACTTTTACACATAGTATGAGTCACCAGATGACCAATGAGCCACCAGATAAGGTTTCTACCATATAGTTGCCTAGTTCTGTATTACTAAAATGACAGTATAATTTTAAATGCAGTAAAGTGGTGAACATATTCCTGCCACACATTCTTACATGTAGTAAAAGTTCAGTAATTTACTAAATGGAAAGGTTTTCCTACATGGTTGCTTGGATGCCTGTATTCATGCAACTTCATACAGTTTCCTGGAACTGGAAAAGCTTGGGCACTATGGAATTGGTGTCTCCATGGAAGCCTGTACCAAGATTATAGTAAGTTTGTAGTCAGTTACAGGCAGTAAAGCAGTAATGTATCAAGCACCCCTACACCTGGCTTTTTGTGATATGGGGAATAAATATATACTTATAAGATACATGCCAAATATGGCAAACTTTAGCTGTGTATGAAATAGCTGCCATGAAGTTTGTAAAGATCAATACACTAGTGGAGCTGTAGCTCTGTGGGTAGAACATATGCTTTGCATGCAAAAGGTTCCAGGTGCAAGCTCTGGCTTCTTCAAGGAGGGAATGTTCGCTGACTAAAAACTTAAGGAGCTGCTACTAGTCAGTGTAGACAATATGGAGAGCTGAATGGACCAATAGTTTGACTTTGTGTGAGGCAGATTCTAATGTCCCATAATCCTGTGACTTCAAATGCAATAGACTATGTTCTATGGGACTAGTGAAATCCTAGATGTCTGGATTTCCTAAAACAAGTAGTAACTCCTAGTAAGGTTGAAAAACGTTTCCAGTAACGTCAGAACAGTGTGTGAACACTTTTTGAAAATGTCAGTAGTAGAGGTCTCAGTTGAAACTGGTTTACATGTAATGCTAAACCATAATGTAGTGCTACATGAATGAGTGACCCTGAGTGAAGCATCAAGTTTATGCTCACCCTCCCCTCCTGCGAGACTAGGAAGACAATTTATGCTAAGTTTACTTTCAGTTTTAAATATTGGCATAGCATTATCTGCTAACATGGCTTACTACAAACAAATTGTTTGCCAGCTTCAAACCATGGACAGCACAGGAAGGGGTGGAGTGTGGGCTGAAAACTGTTCAGAAACACTTCATCCTTGTTCACATATTGCTAAACATGGTTTAGTGTTATGGTGAATCAGTCAATTGTTCAATAAAGTTCCATTTAGTTTTCTTTAAAGCAATACTTCATTAATAATACATGACATACGAGCAGCTAGGATGTTTAAAATGGGATTTCAGTTGTGTAAGGCATAAGGCATCCTACTTAGAAGCAAACTCATTTAAATAAATTGGACCAACTTTCAAGCAACCATGGGATTTCAGTTGTGTAAGGCATAAGGCGAGACACAGGTGGCGCTGTGGTCTAAACCACAGAGGCTAGGGCTTGCCGAGCAGAAGGTAGGCAATTTGAATTCCCACGATGGGGTGAGCTCCCATTGTTTGGTCCCAGCTCCTGCTCACCTAGCAGTTTGAAAGCACGTCAAAGTGCAAGTAGATAAATAGGCACAGCTTCTGCGGGAAGGTAAATGGCATTTCCATGCACTGCTCTGGTTCGCTAGAAGCAGCTTAGTCATGTTGGCCATATGACCCAGAAGCTGTCTGCGGACAAATGCCGGCTCCCTTGGCCTATAGAGCGAGATGAGCGTGCAACCCCAGAGTCGTCCGCGACTGGACCTAATGGTCAGGGGTACCTTTACCTTTAAGGCATAAAGCATATCAGAGTCCTCCATTCTGTGCTAGCATTGGGAGAGCCCCACCAGTGATATTTAATGTGAAGTTTTCCATTGCTGTACTTTCTATAGAAAGCTTTCAGTTGCTAAAAATTCAGTTTGTTAAGATTAGTAATGTAAGATGGATATATTTTGACACTCTAAGAAGACTCAGGCCTTTGAAAACCTTAGTGTAATTTTAATTTGTATCCTGTGTATATCCACTGCCATGCTGTTGTAAATGTTTTGTTAAAAACATTTGTATTTTCATTGTATTTTTTTGTGTGAGCTGACCTTAGAGCATTTGAAGAAGGCTGGGGTAGAAAAGTAATAAATATATACAATGTCAGTCTGAGTAGTCTCAAAAGTGTAACTTTTTCAGGTGACTGTTTCTAGGATGCATGTATATAATTATGTCCACATTCAGATAACTCTTCAGATGTCCTATAATTAGCATGTTTTAATTTTTAGAAAAAAAGGAAGGTATTAAAAACAAATTACTATAGGTTGTATCTAGTACTAGTGCTAATCCTATTTGGAGCAGACGTATTGAAATTAATCGACTTTCCTAACTTAGGCCCATTAATTTCAGTGGGTCTACTATGAGTAGATCTTAGTTGGCTATAATAGCTCAGTTGGTAGAGCACAAGATACTTTGTTTCTGGGTTGTGGTTTGGGCAAAAAATTCCTGCATTGCAGGGGGTTGGACTAGATGACTCTCATGGTCTCTTCCAATGCTACAATTCTATGATTTCTATTTCACCATTTTCCCCTCATAGAACTCAAAGTGGTATACATGGGTTTCCCATGTGGTCTTCTATCTAGACACTGATCAGACTCAGACATGTGTTGCTTCAGTATGGTAGTTGCCTCATGTGCAGTGCTAGAAATTCCTCAGGCACCAAGTGAGTTTTGTGACTGGTGTGGTGGTGTGGGTTCAGTTGTGACCATGTGGAGATCTTTGGATGCCAGGTTGGCAACTGACATCTCCATTTGGCTTCACCCTCCAGCTTTCTTAAGCAGGTAAGCAGAAGGGCTTATTTATTGAATTTATATCTCATCTTTTTCTCCAAGGGGTACAAGGTTCACCCCCCTCCTCAGTTAATCCCTACAATGACCCTGTCAGCTAAGTTAAGAGGCTGTGACTGGCCCAAGGTTACTCAGTGATCTTTATGACCAAGTGGAGATTTGAACCCTGATCTCCCAGGTCCAAGTCTCATGCTCTTACCACTACACCACACTGGCTTCCTAGAGTACTTCTGCTATGGGGCAGCTGCATAAATTAGGTAGGTAAATAATATGGAGAAAACAAAATGTAACTTACAGAATGATCTGAAATATTTTCCTTGAAGTTTGAATTTGTTTTGTTCTGGATTGTTTTATTTGATTTTTTAATGTGTTGTAAACTGCTTTGAGATTTTTTCTTTAAAATATAAAGCAGAATAGAAATGAAATGAATAAAAATAATAAAAATATTCATCTCTCCCCCCATGGTGCCTAGACATTCCGTTTTGTTGACTTTAACCAAGGTTTAAGGTGCCTTTTGATGCCTAGCTTATATACCTTGAGTTTCTAACACTGTCAGTGAGGCTATACATTTAATGGGGATAGGTGTGTTTATAGGTTGGAAAAGTGTTAGATGCTTGCTTAAACCTAAGGAACATAATACAGCCTTAGGTTTTTTTGTTTTTAAAATTGTTTTTGCATTTTACAACATTAACCATCTCCCCAACCAAACATGTGAGATAGTGGAATAATGGGTGACCAATGCACATGGTTCATGACATTCCAGGTTTTACAATATATAAAATAAAAACCAACAGTCATCTATAACAGCCAATGAAGTCTAAATTCATTAGGGAGTGCACAGATACTTTTTCTTCCTATATGCATAAAAATGTAAAGCTGTCTGGAGAGAGTTAAACCACAAGCTTGGGTTTGACTGACGTGTCAATTCAGACTGTGACGTAGTTTAGTGCAGCAGCAGAATGAATGACCAGTGGAGAGGAGCAAAGCAGCTACAGCCTCCTTTCCAAGGCCTGCATATTTGGTGGTTTGTGCTATAGTTTAGTTTAGTGCTATTTGTGAACCAAGCCTTGGTGCTTGGTCCTCACAGGAATCCTGTAGTCAGACAGTAAGGGTAATTTATGTACTGAGCATAATGCCAAGACCATTACGAACATAGGCACACTTGTAAATCAGCCACACAACAGCTTTGTTTGCAAATAACTACCATGTGAAGCTATGGTTTGCAGTTCCCTTATAAGCCAATCATTGTTTTTAAAATACAGTATGTTGGTGTTACGTTGGAATCCAACAGCCTTGATTAAGTTGCAGGGGCTTGTGGCAAGAGCTGATGAAAAACAAACTGAATTCTGGAGAAACAAGACATGGCTTGTGCATGAGATGATATGTTGAACAAACCATAGGTTGGCACTATGTATGAATGCAGCCAATAAGTCCACACACATGGTAATCACAGTCTGAAATAAGTAAAAAAAGCATTTGTTTACATTTTTGCTGAAAATCCTTTTTTCTAGGGATGATTTTGACTTGCTATATTCAACTGGTAGTTAACAAATCCTAGTACTGTAAAAGCACTGGTAAAATAGGTCAGGTTTTTTGGAAAGCTTCCTATTGATAACCATTGAAGCTTACCATCAAAGGGGAAACTTGGGGATGAAGCAAAGCACAGAATCTGGGTGAGAAAATTCAGCCTACACTGTGTAGCTTCAGCAAGCTGGCATGGCTTACTGCTGGTGAAAGGGGCCAGAGACAGTCTAATTTGATGATACATTGGTGCTGATGTAGTTGGGAGTAGCAAATAAGTAGAAGGTTCTGAGTCTGCATGAGATCCAGAATCTCGGCATCTCTTGTCTTAATTGCATGGGCCCTAGGATATTGCTGGGCTCCAACCTCCACCAACAATTACCATTGGCCTTGCTGGTGGTGTTCACAGGAGTTGGAAGCCAACAACAATTGGACAGCTACATGAATACTTTCAGAAATAGTGCCACTCAGTGCTTCTGAGTTCCATCCTGAGCCATTGTCTCTGTGACTTTAAAACATGGGAGTCTGCCAGTTGCTAGTCAGCTTCACTGATCAATGCTGATACAAAAATATCTACCTGGATAAGCCACTACTTTTGATACCTTTTGTGTGGACCAGATGGGCTTTGAAATTGTTGAGGTTTGCTGTATACCCAAAGGCTATAATTTCAGTAGGCATCTTGAAACTTACTAGAAGGATTAGTTCACATTAATATCTAGATACAATCACTTGTTAGCCATTTTTGCTATTAATTCTTATGATAGCACTGGGCAGTACATTTCACTTTAATATAAAATTTCCAAGGAGAGAGCTTAAGAGTTAAAATTCTACAATATGATGGTCTGCCTCAATTTTTAATACCTTAATTTTTCATCTCTCTTGGTGGGGTAGGGGACTTCTCAATCCATTGCTGCTCAGTTGATTAAATCTTCAGATGTCTGAATCCTAGACATTTGATCCCTTGGGTGCAGTATGACACTGTCAGTATATTTTGCTTGCCCAATTTTGTTGAAAATCCATCAGGTTACCTCCCCCCCCCAAAAAAAAAATTGAGTTTTTTTTCTAATTGGTATCACTTTTCTGGATCTCTTCTTTATAATTGTCTATTATATTGCAAGATGTTACTTTACAAACAGTAACACCAACAAAGTAACATTACAGAGCTGCCTTTTTTCTTGTAAGAGTCCTTCCTCTTAAAGCAGAATAGCCTTTTGAAGGGTCTTTAAAATGCTCACTCAGCTATGAAGCATGATTTGATTTTTTGTTGTTGTTATAAGGATCCAGAATAAGCAATTTATAGGTGTGTTACAAAATAAGACATTGTTAGCTGCTGGGGCATTAAGTTGTTAGGAGTATATAATTATGGCTTCCTTTTTACTCAGCATTTCTGAAACCTGTCATAGCAACTTATTGAGCTTTGATCTCAGTGAGATGAATTCAGTAGGCTATTTGAGTGGCACTTGCTGTATTCAGGGACTCATTGTGACTGATGATAAATCATTCTGACTTAAGGCAGTGCAACAAATAATCAGTGGTGCCTAAAATAACTATTGTAGTTGTGTATGGTGTCTTCCTTGGTTGTGCTGGCGCTCTATATTCCCTAGCTGCTTCCTCTTGCTTACTTGCTCTCTTTCTGTCTAGCAGCTTCTCCAAATGAATCTGCACGCACACTGCACAGGGATTTGGGAATTTTATTTATTTATGAATTGACTTCAACATGCGTCAAGGCCACAGGAGCTGGGTTAAACCGACCAGCCCAATTAAGCTTTAGGCCAACTTCAAGTATATCCCTACATATGCTATTCCAATCTAATGACAACCTAATGACAACCACAGTTGTCTTACCAGCCGAAGCTGATAAAAATGTACTTCTACTCACGGGTGACAGTTGTGGCACTAGTGAAAGAGCTAGAACTAGGAACACTCCAAAGCATGCACTTGCTCCTTCAGGGAAACGTGACCCAATCCACAGCAGGAACTTACCCACTCCTGGGGCTCAGGAACCACTCTCCCATGGAGCCTCCATCTTGCCAGGATTTGGACTTAGTTCTCATCTAGCCCACCATTGCATCCAAGGCCTGCTCAGCCATTCTCAGTTCAGGTGCTACGGAGAAATAGTTTGGTATCATCAGTATACTGGTGACACCTCGATCCTAATGACTGCTCCCAGAAGCTTCATAGAGACATTAAATATCATTGGAGACAATGCCCTGCAGCATCCCATAGATCAAGAACAAGGGGGTGAGAAGAATTCATCTAATGGCATCTTCTGGAACTGTGCCAGGAGATTAGATCGGGACCATTGCCAAACAGTTCCCTGATACCCATCTCCCATAAATGCTAGGCTTAATAATGTCATAAGCTGCTGGGGGATTGAACATTTGCAGCCGAGTCATGGCTTCCCTGTCCTCTTGATTAGGGTAATTAATGAAGTCTTCCAAAACTGATTAAGTCCCAAACCTGGGCTTGAATCCAGATTAGAATGGGTTTAGATAATCTGTTTTCTCCAAGAATTCTGCAGTTGCACTGCTACAACTCTCTCAAGTGCCTTGGCAAAAAAGCGGGCGTTTGCAACTGAACAGTAGTTGCTGAATACCATTCAGGCCAGGTTGGTTTTTTTCTAGAGTGGCCATACTATGATCTATGCAGGATTGCCATCTTTTGCCACTAGAAAATTCCCCAGAGTGATCATATCCTCTAACTGGCATATGTAGTATTTTGTGCATATGAATTAACTTGTAGTATCTGGCTTGCCACACTGCTTTTCATTATTGGTGCCAATTGCTTGCATGCATTCATAGTTTCTGTTAGTGGCACATTTGATCATATCACCTGTGAGGCCACACCACTGGCTTTTTCCTCCCCATTAATGCACAGGAATTTCCCCATTCGTATAGTATAGTACTGTATAGTACTGTACAGTGGTACCTCGGGTTACATACACTTCAGGTTACATACGCTTCAGGTTACAGACTCCGCTAACCCAGAAATAGTACCTCGGGTTAAGAACTTTGCTTCAGGATGAGAATAGAAATCATGCTCCGGCAGTGCGGCAGCAGCAGGAGGCCCCATTAGCTAAAGTGGTGCTTCAGGTTAAGAACAGTTTCAGATTAAGAACAGACTCCGGAACGAATTACCGTAAGTACTTAACCCGAGGTACCACTGTATAGTATAGTACTGGAGGGTGTGTAAACTAAATTTCCCAGGATCATTCCATCCCATTGAGAATATGATGCATGATCCTATAGATGTCTGTTTACACAGAAGTAACAGCCATTAATTTCATTCAGGCTTACTTTAGTGTACATAGGATTGTAGCATTGGTTTTATAGGTCTTATTTTCTAGTAAATGGATGTTGGATTGCCACCTGGATTCACCTAATATTCTCTGGATTGTGTTCCATTTTTAAATTATGTTTATTTAAAGAACAGGATTATGAGTACCTGTCTCTTAAGGTCCAAACTAGACATGACAAGAGGTGTCTTATCTAGCTTGGCAGTAAGCTCCTAATGTAGGTGCAACAGTCTGTTCCTAACCACTTTTGCTCAACACTATGCCCCTTTGTAATAAACTAGACTTAATTTCAAGTACGGTAAATACATTTAGGATTGCAGCCTAAGGCTCTGATTGTCCCTCCCACAAACTTTCTAGATACTGTGTTACTTTGCTACAAGTTCCACCATATACAAGTTTGAATATTGGGTTAATAGGTTCTCACTGTCATATTCCCTGTATATGTTTCTGAGCTTGTGAATGTTCTTCAGAGTAGTGTTGAACAGAAAAAGCTTGTTGTCTTCTATTTTACCTGATGGCCCACAATCTGATTATGTCTGTAAAGTACTCTTCTGTAAAAAAATAAATAAATGCCTTTCTAGGAGTTTAAGGCAGGAAATGAGCAGACCTTGTAGAATTACCATATTTTTTGCTCTATATGACTCACTTTTTCCCTCCTAAAAAGTAAGGGGAAATGTGTGTGCGTCTTATGGAGCGAATGCAGGCTGCGCAGCTATCACAGAAGCCAGAACAGCAAGAGGGATTGCTGCTTTCACTGTGCAGTGATCCCTCTTGCTGTTCTGGCTTCTGAGATTCAGAATATATTTTTTCTTGTTTTCCTCCTCCAAAAACTAGGTGCATCTTGTGGTCTGGTGCGTCTTATAGAGCGAAAAATACGGTACCTATTACACACAAACACACGCCCACCGCCCACTACTTGAGATCTACCAGCTGAGGCCAGGTGCAAAAGTGGCTTGTGAGGGACAGACATCCATTTAAAATTAAGGAAGTGGTGCCTCTGAGTATATGTTTGGCCAAAGTTTTGTTTTTAGTACCAGAACTGACCACACAGCAATCCACTCCTAGTTGTCCCTCAATCTTTTTTCTTTTTCAGCAACTTAACGTGTGGGATGGGGAGCCCCTTTATTACTGTTTGACTTATTTCTAGACCACTCTTCTGCCTACTTAGAGAATTATGTAACATTAGTTCGTGGCTGGAAGCTCCAGCAACTTTTTTAAAATCTTGGGCAAGTTAAACTTCAGAATCATGCAGCTTCAAGTGTTCAAACCAAATACAATACTAATTCATTCCAGGATGAACAGTACCTATCAGTGTTATAGAAAGTCTGTCAAATAACAAATAGAGTTATTTGTCTCTGTAATCCTTCTAGTGACTGTCTTTTGGTTTTGCATAATTCTGCTTCTCCGCAGAATTCTGCTTCTCTATTCTTCCTTCCTTTTTTTCAGGACTTGGAGGGAACAATAAATTAATAATGGTCAATGGTGTGGGCTTCTTAGAAAATTTGAAGTGCAAAAACTTCAAACATGAGAAATAGTGACGATGTCCTTTTATGTTCTGTCTTCTGTTGCTGTCCAAGTCTGGCATGAAGAAACATTCTGCACGCCTGAGCTGCCTTGGTCTGTTTAATGTGAAGGAGTAAAAGTGGATTGTGCAAATGCACTTTTCCTTTCCTGTCTGCCAGGGTACATATATACAAGATGCACAGGCTGATTCCTTGTACTGATAATCAGGATTGCTTGTATTTTCTGCATCCAGTCCAGCTCTGGTTACAAAAACTAACAAAACAAGAGCATTATAAAGCACCACAATATCAAGGAGCAGCATAAAAGTATCTAGCAGAATTAAGAACCAACACTAGGCAGTAGAAACATTTTTTTAAAAAAATTATAAAAATTTGGCAATATAAGTATTAAGGGACATGCCAAGTGAAGCAGGAAGAGCTTTCCACAGTTGAGATGTCACCACTTATTAATCTCTTTCTCATGTAGCCCACCATGCCTCAGATATGGGGGCCATGGGCATAGCCATAATTTTTTTGGTGGGGCAGGCCTTTTGTTGGGGGGGCAGAACCTCAGTTTACTATGTATTTTTATTGAATTTTATTAATTTGGGGAGGGACAGCTGCCCCCCCGGCTACGCCTATGATGGGGGCACCCAAAGAAGGGTTCTTGTTGAAGATCTCTCTCTGTGTAGCCCCTAAGGTATAATAATAACAATAATATATTATTTGTACCCCACCTATCTGGCTGGGTTTCCCCAGCCACTCTGGGCGGCTTCCAACAAAGATTAAAAATACATTAACATGTCACACATTAAAAACTTCCCTAAACAGGGCTGTCTTCTAAATGTCAGATAGTTGTTTATATCTTTGACATCCGATGGGAGAGTGTTCCGCAGGGCGGGTGCCACTACCGAGAAGGCCCTCTGCCTGGTTCCCTGAAGCTTTGCTTCTCGCAGTGAGGGAACCGCCAGAATGCCCGCTGTGCTGGACCTCAGTGTCTGGGCAGAATGATGGGGGTGGAGACGCTCCTTCAGGTATCCCGATCCCAGGCTGTGAAGTGAGTTAAATGGCAAATCCATTACTTTTAATTGAGTCCACCACACTACAATAAACAATAAGCTAACCTGGAGAATGCCAGGATAGATCACTGAGCCATTGTGCTTAATTGTTTACTATTATGCTTAGTTCTGGGTTTGCTGGTCATAGGAGGGATGAGATGCTATATAAAGTACTGAAGCACTACCCCCAGGCACTAGAAATCTTTTAGCACCACTCTACCTTTTTGTGAGCTCCCGTTCCTCGGTCCCTGCTCCTGCCAACCTAGCAGTTCGAAAGCACGTCAAAACTGCAAGTAGATAAATAGGTACCGCTCTGGCAGGAAGGTAAACAGCATTTCTGTGCGTTGCTCTGGTTCACCGGAAGCGGCTTAGTCATGCTAGCCACATGACCTGGAAGCTGTACACCAGCTCCCTCGGCCAATAAAGCGAGATGAGCGCCGCAACCCCAGAGTCGGTCACGACTGGACCTAATGGTCAGGGGTCCCTTTATCTTTACCTTTTGAAAGTTTACAGTAATTGCTCATCACTTCACAAGCTCAGCTTATTTTATCTGAATTTTACATTATAGAACAGGCATAGGCAAACTCGGCACTCCAGATGTTTTGGGACTACAATTCCCATAATCCCTGACCACTGGTCCTATTAGCTAGGCATCATGGGAGTTGTAGTCCCAGAACATCTGGAGGGCCGAGTGTGCCTGTGCCTGCTACAGAATTACAGCGTCAAAACAGCCCTACTCACAATTCTCAAATAGGCTTGACATACTACTGTTTAACTAATGGATAAATGTGTAAACAAATCCTTCTTGAACTGCTATGTGTTGTTTAAATCACGTACAGGAGCACTTAATAATGCAGAAAGTAGCTCTTTTTTTTTGTAAACCTACTGTCTTGATTTTCAAAGGTAAAGCAATGCAGTAACTCCCCCCCTCCCCCATAACTTACTGAAAATCTTTTCAGAGGTTAGTCTATTCCAGCAAAAAAAGTCTCATGGTACCTTACACTTAGGACATATTAAGTTTGCTAGTCTTGAAGGTGTCATAATATGTTCTCTTTCTGAGATCCAAATTCATAACCTGATATATCCAAGCACTGAAAACTGTGAAGATTTTCACACTGAGTGTCCGGGAGGTGGGTCAGGGCTTTTCTTCCTAATGTTCTTGACTATTTTTATGGTGCAACAATAGAATTCTAATTTTCTTATTATTTCTAGAAAGCCGAGATGAAAATGGCAAGACCCAGAGAGCTGACAGTCTTATTGTAAAGAAAATAAAGAAAAAGAAGAAAAAGAAACACAGAGAAGATATGAGGGGGAGGCATCTGAAAATGTATAATAAAGAAGTGCAGACTGTGTGTGCTGGTCTTACCCGTATCAACAAAGAGATTTTGACTCCAGGGGAGAGTGATAACTTGGAAGAAAACAAGGAATCTTTTAGGTACCTAAAAGATGAGCAGCTGTGTCAGTTGAATTTGGGCATGCAGGAATATAGGATACCCCAGGGGGTGCAGTCTCCATTTACTACACACCAGGAGCATTCTGTTCGCAGCAGCTTCTTAAAAACAGGCACTAAATTTAGTAACTTTATTCATGAAGAGCATCAGTCAAATGGAGGAGCTCTGGTTCTTCATGCCTACATGGATGAACTCTCATTTTTGTCTCCAGTGGAGATGGAGAGATTTGCAGAAGAGTTTCTTGCTTTGACATTCAGTGAAAATGAGAAAAATGCAGCATACTATGCTCTAGCTATAGTTCATGGGGCAGCTGCCTACTTGCCAGACTTCTTGGATTACTTTGCTTTTAATTTTCCTAACACTCCAGTGAAAATGGAAATCCTTGGCAAGAAGGATATTGAAACAACAACCATTTCAAACTTTCATGCTCAGGTAAGAGATGTCATCCTAAAGACCCAAGAGTATTGGAAACTAAGCATATCATTCACCCGGAAACTCACAAAGCAGCGTAAGGGCAGAAACGCAAACCAAAATCTAGACAATTCTGTCAGCTACTGCCTTCCAACTACCTTTCCTTCAATAACAAACCTATAATTTTGTCTGTATATAGGATGATAATCCCTGCAATTTAAAGCCATGTAGATTTTGTGCTATCTAGGCTGTTTCTGAATGCCTTTCCACTCCAACTAGTACCAGCCTTTTTGAACCATAGTTCCCTACTTTCCCATTTCCAGCCTGTCATTGAACAAACATGAGTTATTATTATTATTGAGAATATTTCAATAAAACAAAATATACTGGAAATTAAAAGTGAATCAAAAATAATAAAAAAGTAAAGGTGGGTGAATGTATATTATATCACTATATATTCAAGCAGCTATAACTCCATATATGCTTGTCTAGTATATAGGTATATAAATGTAATTACTATCCATATATATGGTTATTTATAACCTATCTTTTTAATAAACATGTTCCAAATATCTTTATACTTGTCCATACAAAGTTTATATCTATAAGCAATCCATAAGTTGCAAGTGTTGCCATATCCTTAATCTGTTGACTAAAAGAGGCCATAGATTTATCCTACCAGTGCATCAGTCTCAGTCTCTTGGCCCTAGTAAGGGCGAGAGATGCAGGTGGCACTGTGGTCTAAACCACTGAGCCTCTTGGGCTTGCTGGTCGGAAGGTCGGCAGTTCGAATCCGCATGACGGCGGTGAGCTCCTGTTGCTCTGTTCAAAAGCATACTAGTGCAAGTAGATAAATAGGTACTGCTGCGGCGGGAAGGTAAACGGCGTTTCTGTGCATTCTGGCTTCTGTCACGGTGTTCCGTTGCACCAGAAGTGGTTTAGTCATGCTGGTGACACGACCTGGAAAGCTGTTTGTGGACAAATGCTGGTTCCCTCGGCCTGAAGCAAGTTGAGTGCCGCACCCCATAGTCACCTTTGACTGGACTTGACTGTCCAGGGATCCTTTACCTTTTTAGTAAGGGCACAAAAAATCCATTTCTATTGTCTACTTGTCAAATTTCATATAGTAGGTACATAATTCAATAGAATATTTACCTCTGAAAATTCTAACCAATTCTGCACAGTCATGTTTATACAATCCAATACTTTCTCTGAAAACTTAGTAAGTGACTGACAATGTGTTTTAAAGAAGCATTATGTTTATTACATATCAAACAACATGCTGGTTTAGACAGTCTTTTTCTATATAAACATAATGGAGTCCAGTAGATTGTAAACATTTTCTGTTGCATAAGTGATAATTTCAGATCCATAGACACCTTTACTAAGGAACCTGAAACACTTTCCCACTATCTAGGTAATACAGGAACATCCAATTCTTTGTTCCACTCATTTCTTAAAATCTGTGTTTCGAATTGATTCATTGATAGCAAATATCTATAAAAAGTAATCGCAGTCTTTTTAGTTTCAAAGTATTTGATCAGTTCTAATATTTCTGGTACCTCAGAAGCTGTAAAAGCTGCTGGTCCAAACAAAGTTGTTACCATGTGTTGCAGCTGCAAATATTTCCATTGGGTTGATAGAGTTGTCTCTTAAAAGAATGTGTAAAATTCATCTTTCTCATCTGTCAGTTGGTTCAGAGTCAGTATGCTCACTTCTGTGCAATTCTTTCATATTACTATCTTTCTCCCAATTTTTAAAATTGGGTTTCCCCACAAAGTCAATTTAGCCATGTGAAAATTGATCAATTTTATTTTTATTAGACATTATATTCCATATTTTTCTAACTGACATTAATTGTTTTGAGAGACTCCCTAGCTCTAATGTACTTTGATCCTAATGCTATATATGTATATTCTAAAATTGCCCAAGTCAGAAAATTATTATTATGGGAGCTGTAGTTCAGCAGCACATGAAGCGCCACAGGTTAACCAGCTCTATTATGACATTTCATTGGTTTCAGTAGAAAGTGCATATTGATCTTTTGGCACCGAAACATACAGGTTTTTAAAGTGCTTTCTAGACTGTCCAATTGCAGTTGAGACAACAGGTGGTCTGGGGGGACGGACATGTGTCCCCAAATTTTCATGTTCTTTTAGGTGTGCTGGTCTAAAAGTCATGTGATATGGACCTATTTTGAACTGTCAGAAGGAGGTTTTCAGCTCAACACTTTTTTTTTTTTTACTTTGTAACTCAGTTAAGTAAACTTGTTCAAATTTCTACAAATGCAATTAGGAAAAAGGAACAATAGGTGCATTTACTGCAATTGTTGCTGTGTGTGCATATCCATCCTGTACTGGTCATTTATTGTCCACAGCCTTGTTCAGCATCATATTCCAACTTCCATGTGTTCCTTCCAACAGTTTCTTCCACACTAGTACGTTTCCTGGCTTGGCTTCAAGGTTTCTCTTCCCTTTCTGAAGCTTAGTATGGTAATATAGGACATAGCCTAAGTCTATGCCCTCTTAGGCGAGTCTAGAAGGATGTTTGCCAAGTACAGTGGTACCTCTGGATGCGAACGGGATCCATTCTGGAGCCCCGTTCGCATCCTGAGCAGAACGCAACCTGCATCTGCGCGTGGGCGGGTCACAATTCACCTCTTCTGCACATGCGTGTGACGTCATTTTAAGTGTCCGCACATGCACAAGTGGCAAAACCCAGAAGTAACCTGTTCAGTTACTTCCGGGATGCCGGGGGACGCAACCTGAAAAGATTTAATCCGCAGCTACTTTAACCCAAGGTATGACTGTAAAGTTTTGTTTGGAGCATGTATTGCAGTCAATATCTTCTTTGCAAGTTTCTTGTTTTGGTTTTTTTTCAAATGAAAGCTGATGTTCAGGACATTGCTTAAGTGTCTTGGAATCCCAGATCAGCCTCATTCGGTGGTAGGATTCGTCTACTTGTTTTAAGCTTGCCTTTTGGTTTTGTTGGTTGTACACTGCCTCTGTGACTGTCTTATAAAGAATGATTAATGAATATTTATTTTAAAAATGCTACTTGCACTCTGGTATCAATATCAGAATACAGAACGTTCAGTCTTGAGATCAATTGTGAAGGGTACATAGACGGTTAAATTATCCATATCGGCAAAACACATGATTGTATGCAGAGGAAAGATCCATTCTTTATTATTGCCTTTGTTCTGGGATAAACTTCAGTTAAAATGTGCATATTCCCTTCACAAGAGGTGAAAAATGTATGTGCATTGTATTTAAACATTTGAACCCAAGTGCAAAATATTACCGTATTGGCCTGAATATAAGCCCCACTTTTCCCCCAAATTCCAACCACGAAAAGTTAAAGTGCAGCTTAAATTTGTGACCTTACAAAAACCGGCTTTTACGATATCGCTGCTGAAACAGACATATGTTAAAACGGAACAGGTGTGAGTGCCTGTGGAATTTTAAGGGAGCGGCTTATATTTGGGTATTGTCTTTTTTTCTTTTCTCCCCTTGAATTTTAAAAGTGCGGCTTATGTCTGGGTGTGGCTCATATTCGGGCCAATACGGTATATAAGGCATCCCTTGCAACTCCATGATTCTGTGATTCTATATGCTTCTGAAAGAAATCCAGTTCAGACTTTAGAGCTGCTTAAATGCCACTCTGAAGGTGTAAGGGCATTGAGCTTTCACACAGCTTCTTCCTTCCTTTCCCTTTAACACTATGCACAGTTAGAACAGCATACCTTTGGTGTTTACAATGAACTGTTAATTTACTCTACATAAAAATCTTTGGAAGATGGTGGCAGAAGAATCCATAGTGGGGAAACTTTGCAATGTGGAGGTGTCTGGAGTGGACCTCCCTTTCTGCTCATGTGGCGGTGGAGAGGAGACAGCAGGGGAATTCCACAATAGCCTGTACACCGAGATGCATAGGATTGCTCCCAAAGTAGCTTAAATGTTTATTTACTGCTATGCTTCATCAACCTTGTCTCTTAGGATGTCAATTGGGTAGTTATCTTTCTCCACCACAGGTAAATTTAATAAAGCCACTTTTTAGTATTTGGATACACAATTACTAATAATAATAATAATAAAAATGTTTCCTTGACAAGAGATGACTATAGGAAATTATTTGCTTATATGTCTTACACTAGTTTTCCACTTAGAATCCTTTTTGTTACAGCATTTTGGGTGAAATGCAAAAACTTGGATGAATAGATGTTTCAACTTTTGTTTCCTTTTCGGTATTGTTCAGGGTGGTATAATGTCAGTTCAGGGCACCTGCCTAATCAACTTGTTTTGATACCTACCAGGGGAATTTTTTCTTCAGTTCTTCTCCATTTGATTGTCACCTTTAGTTCAAATTGTTTGCATTCTTTAAGACTGTCCACGGTTCTTCAGTTTTCTCTAGATGTTTTGGTGGTTCCCTCATGCAGGGTGGTAATGGCTCGTCCCTGCAGATGAATGCTGTATGATCTATGCTCAGAAGGGCCCAACCTGTAACCAATTGCCTACAAAAAGAAGAAATTCACTCATACATCCAAGTGTTTGTTTCTTCACTATATTCAGTCAATTCCAGTACTCATTTAGACTTCACAATAACATAGTACACTATATTAAGTATATGCAATGGTATGGAGTAAAAACACATTTTTGCTTTATTTGTACAGGTCAGTCGAACATACTGCTGTGGAACCTACAGAGCAGGTCCGATGAGGCAGATCAGTCTTGTTGGAGCAGTAGATGAAGAAGTTGGAGACTATTTCCCAGAATTTCTTGATATGTTGGAAGAATCTCCATTTCTTCGTGTAAGAATTAACTTTATTGCATATGAGAACCTGTAACATATTATTAATCACAGAATAGTTAAGCATAATAATGAATACATGAGTCTGCCTACTACAGGACCTGGGAACTTTCCTCAGCCTGAGGCATTCCATAATGGGGCTTCTTTTGTGGGGAGGGGGTGCACATGACAGTGGTGGACATGGCCGGGGGTGAAAGGATGTGGTTCCTATCTTTTGTACAGTAGGCTTCATTCCATGTATCAAAATTCAGAGTTGTTTTACAAATCCAACTAAGCAAGAGATGTTACCACGGCCCAATGACACATTCTAACCAGGCAAGATCATTTGAGGAGGACTCAAAGCAGAGCTGGTGAAGGTGTGTCTTGCATTCGGCCCCCACGCCTGAGGTTTCCCACTCCACCCCACTGTTTTCACATGACTGAGTGGAATATATATGACGTATTTTGTGTATATATGATTATATCCATGTAGTATAATCCTGGTTTTATAAACACATCTCTCTCTCTCTCTCTCTCTGTGTGTGTAGGTTTCCTTTCAATAAGGAAGCTGTGCCTCTGTTCAGTAGCATTCTGTCTTGCTGACCACCTGATTTGGATTTCTTTTGCTTTATACAGATGACTTTACCTTGGGGTACTCTTTCTAGCCTCAGACTTCAATGCAGGTCACAAAGTGATGATGGCCCCATAATGTGGGTAAGACCAGGAGAACAGATGATCCCAACAGCTGATATGCCAAAGTCACCATTCAAACGGCGGAGGTAATACTCCTTAAATTTATTTTACAGGAAAGTTTTAATGCTTGCCGTAGAGTTGAGTTCACAAAACTCTTTACTGATTCTGATCTCTCAGCTGATCATATAATTAGTACCAGCTTTTCCCATACTGAAATTCAACTATGCATTGCAGAACTGTAGTCATGTTCTTTTCTCTTAGTCACCTCAGTGCCATGTATTCTTAACTCCTTCAGGCAGGGACTTGCCTCTGTTTGGTAAAATGCCATGTATACTGATGGTGCCATTGTTTTGAAGTTCAAACTATACGTTGCAGAGTATGTGGAGCTTTTAAAAACCTTTTCTTCCTCCAGGAAATGGTTAGCAGTATATTCCAGCTTAAGCACCTAACAAATTATGACATGTAATGTCCCTGAATAGCAATACAGCTGGACACACCAGCATAATATTTGTGTAGAGGTAGAGCATTACAATTCTATATCTTATTAAATGGTTGACTTTTTAAAGTGCCACCATATTAATGACTTTCTAAGCTTCTTTGGGTACTGTTTAATTGAAATATTATTAGAGGCATTTGGCTATGTTCACTGACCCCTGACTTTGCTGCACTTAAGGGTGAAGTTTGATTAGGGCTTGTAAGTGTCTTCACTTGAACACATTTTAGAAGTCTTCCTGTAATCAGGATACCATTTTATATTTGAGTTATTAAAATCTTGAAGTGCTATAGAGGTTATGCAGAGCCCTTGATTTAAAAAACATCAGTGAGATTTGTTGCTATCATTTGTTTTCAGTCTAGGAAAAACTGTAAAACTGTAGCTAAATCTCTGAATATTACATGACTGCCTCTATAGTAGAGCTGGGGAAGCTTTTTTTGTTTTAAGATGTCAACATCCCCACAGCATAGTTCTAACAGCCTTCTTTCTCTTCTGCCCACTTCATAGATCAATGAATGAAATAAAGAACCTCCAGTATCTACCTCGGACCAGTGAACCCCGTGAAGTTCTCTTTGAAGACAGAACAAGAGCCCATGCTGATCATGTTGGGCAAGGATTTGACTGGCAGAGTACAGCTGCTGTTGGAGTGTTGAAAGCTGTACAGTTTGGTGAATGGTAAGTGTGGTGTAGCAAGTCAGAATATGCTTGGAATTCTTTGAGCAGATCATTCGGAAAGCTGTCTAGTATGCTGCACTAGAATATTCAGGAAAACAGAACATTTAAAAACCAACAAACCAATATTTCTCAGGAATATTTCATTTGTACTAAGCAAATTGTTATAGACCAGGGGCTCTCCAGTCTTGTCATAATAAACTACCCTGAGTTAAACTCTGAACCACCATAGAAACAAAGTGAAACTGAGTTTTTGTTTTCTGTGGACCTCTGGGGAAAGTGGAGAATTCCCAGTCTACCCAGAGCCCTTCTGATCATAGCTTAGTTCGTTATAGAATTAGGGGGATTTGGGAGTGGGTCCCTGACCCGGTCATACATTTAGATGGAGCAGGTCTAAATCACTGAGCCTTGCCGATCGGAAGGTTGGTGGTTTGAATCCATGCAATTGGGTGAGCTCCCGTTGCTCTTTCCCAGCTTCTGCCAACCTAGCAATTCAAAAGCATACCAGTGCAAGTAGATAAATAGGTACCGCTGTGGCAGGAAATTAAATGGCATTTCCGTGTGCTCTGGCACTCATTACGGTGTCCCGTTGCACCAGAAGTGGTTTAGTCATGCTGACCGCATGACCCAGAAAGCTGTCTGTGGACAAACGCTGGTTCCCTTGGCCTGAAGTGAGATGAGTGCCACACCCCATAGTCACCTTTGATTGAATTTAACATCCAGGGGTCCTTTACTTTACCTTTACCATACATTTAGAATACAAATGGGCCCCATGTATAATTCTCAAGATGTCTAGTAGTACATTCTCACTGGAAAAGTCTTCATTTTTCTAGGAGTGACCAGCCTCGTATAACCAAAGATGTAGTTTGTTTTCATGCTGAGGATTTCACAGATGTAGTTCAGAGGCTTCAGTTGGATCTACATGAACCTCCAGTGTCGCAGGTAGTCAGTTCATTTGTTGAAATGTATACTTTGCATGTTGCTTCAAAGCATGATGTTAGTTGCCTATTCCCCCTTACTGCTGGTATTTTCACTATGAAATCACATTTCCAGAATATAGCATACAGATTTGATAAACAAACATTCCCTTTTTTAACCAGATAATGTTACGTTTTGACAAACATTTAATTGGATTGCAAGTGGAAGCACCTTAGATTGTAGTTCATTCCCTGCCACAAGCAGGATCATACAATTACCAGAGCCACATTGACCAGAGTGTGTTGAACAGTATTGGGGACATTGCCTCAACAGTGCCTCATACCAGTGCTTCATAGAAATACCTTACCATTACATGCGGCCTTTCTTTCCACATGAAATTCCCACATATGAAATGCATATTCAGGCATTTGTTCCAAAATTTCTGTTCCACAACACTGGCCAAACCTGCACTATCATCTGGATTTTGCAGAAGTGATGATACTGGATTCCTTTCCCTTAAGTGCAGTTTAAACTTCTGTTAAAGGTTCTACCCTGTTAGTGGACAGACATACTTTGTGTGTGTGTGTCCATGGTTCCTGCAGGTTTTCACTGACTGTAATGAGACATTGTGGGAATAGAACTATATGAATTTGTCCAAGCCTTAAGACTGGTATCAGAGGTCTTGCACTAGCAAAAATGCAATTGGTGGTTACTAGGGGCAGGGTCTTCTCACTCGTGGCACCATAGTTGTCATAACTCACGCAGGAGAGAATTCTCCAAGTTCACTCTCTCCCCCACTTTTATATTTTGAATACTTTAAAATTACCTAAGGTATCTTAAAATGGTTTTAATATTGTTGCATTTTTATAATTTAATTTTTTCTGTATGTGTGTTCTCTTCAAAGTAAAGCACTTTGAAAAATAATTTTGAAAAGTGGGGTTCAGTTTTTAAATAGTGTTGAGAACAGAAAACCCTTGAGCTAATCAATAAGTTGTTTTGATCAGTCAAGTAAGATTATTTGTGGGAAGTTTGCATTTCCTTTTGTTTCACAGCTTCCCTGTGACAGAAGGGCTGAAGCTCTGGTGTGGCTGTCACAAACTTATGAGTTGGAAGTTTTAACAGTTCACTATTTGCTTGAACCTAGTATAAAGTATAGATATATTAGCCATGATTAAATGCTGCATGTTTCTGAGTATCTTTTCTCTGACAGTCATGGGGATTTCACTGTTTGCTTTTGCTACCTGAATATGTAAGCACATCTTTTAAGTTGCACCAAATGTTGTACTTGGCTCATTAGTTTAGCAGCAGCAGCTCCAATTCCAGACTGTTGGTATTTGTGCCATTTTGAGACTTTCCCTTTTTATTGTGGCTAATAAATAACTAAAGGCTGGAGGGCAGAATATGTGCACTGCACACTAAATGCCCACTTTGGGCCTGGCATCTGGTTTACCTCTAACTTCTTTTCTCCTTCAGTGTGTTCAATGGGTCGATGAAGCTAAGCTAAACCAAATGAGGCGAGAAGGGATTCGCTATGCTAGAATCCAGCTATGTGACAATGACATCTACTTCATCCCTAGAAATGTCATTCATCAGTTCAAGACGGTGTCAGCTGTCTGCAGCTTAGCTTGGCATATAAGACTCAAACAATACCATCCTTCAGGGGAGAATTCTCAAAGTACAGAAAGCATTTCAAATATGGACACTAGCATCTGTAATGAGACTAAATCAGAAGGTGAAGATCAATGTGTGCTTGTGAAAAAGGAGTCTGAAGAAGTAGGAACAGAAGTACAGACAGCAACAGTGGCGTCACCATCATTGTTTTCATCTCTGTCGTGACTTGTTCTGCAACAAGATAAGCTGGCTCAGCCCCTTCCAGTTTTTAAACTAGAATCCGATCAGCAACACAAGCCACAGGATGGTCATATGTGCTCTCTTGTGTGATATGTACATAATCATATACATTTTTAAACGGCTTTTTAAAATTTTGATGTGAAGTTATAGTTTTATAACTGGGTTATGTTTTATTGGATAAATCTTGCCTATAATTCTATAAAGAAAGGTGACATTCCAAAATGTCAAGCATATCTTTTTTACACAGATTATGCAAAGTTAGAGTTGTATTTTACTTCCTTAGTACAGCATGTGGTAGTGGACTACATTTTTCTTTGTCATTCAACATCTCCACAAATGTTTTCCCTCTCCTTCAGGAACATTAAGTATTTAACATTTGGTAAATCTGATATCCCTCCGTCTATTTTATCTTTAGCTTTCAGCATAAAAGTGTTGGTTTCTGTGGAGGAGTCACAAAGTGACTCCCATTTGATTAGTGGCTTGAATGAAAGAGAAAGCACAGCACTTTTAATGATCAATTACATTTGTCAGAGAGAGACTTTGAAAGCCTAGAGAAAGCTCAAATTACCAGCAGTGTAGATTAATCCTAATTGCTTATCAGCACCTTCACAAAGAAGCTGATATCTGAGATTAGTTGCAGAGTGTGATCTTGTTGAATTGTAATACCTGACGTAACACTTCCCATACCTCTGCTTTTAATGTTTGTGGGAATATTACTTTTTATATCTTCCCTGACTGCAAAATGTAATACTAGTGTCAAATGAAAGTAACTGTTGGCATCTCCCTGAGGAAATTGCCATCTTAGAGCACTTTAAGGCTTTACAATATTCTAACCAACTTGGTGGCTTGTTCAATTCACAGCAAGCACCTGAGGTGGAAACCATATGTTCCTTTTCATTGATGCACTTAATCCAGTAGAGTAGGCTTCACAGTATAAATTGGTTGCCTTTATTCTCAAGAATTCTATATTGCTGTTTCACAGGAAATCTCATGTGTACTGCTATTTCCACATGTAACTCTTGGGTACCCTAGTGCTATGTTGAAAGGTTAAATGACACTCACTAGTATGTTCAGTATCGTTAGCAGGATTGTTTAGCACTCATACAATATTTCCCAATGTTAACTATAGTCAACTTTCGTTCATTATTTGTATGCTGAATTACATTTATTTCTGGTACTAGAAGAGATGGGCCCTTCACATGTAGGATATAACCTTTGCTAAGGTGTAATCATAGTTGTTAATAAGCAACTCCGTACTTGTGGGGTAGGAGAGAGATCTGCAGCACTACATAAATGCAAGTAAGAAAGCAGCTGTGTTTATTTCAACACATCTTTATCAATCTTTTTGAAAAGAACTGCAAATATTAATCTGTTTCTAATAGCAATTACTTTGTGCAATATTATTTTGTGTAGATTATATGCATATTAGTACCTCTGCACAGAGGACAGTTTTAAACCAATAGCAAAATGATCAGAAAATATTGCAGTGATTTAGATAGAATTTGTATTACTCCTGATATATACATGTATATGTATTGTCTTCGGTGCAGACTGAAGACAAATAGAAAATATTTCAACTTAAAATGAATTTTCAGATTGGAGTAGTGATGAATTGTTAAGTAATCTGTGTAAATAAGGTGTTAGGATGAAAACCTTTTTACAAAGGGTAATTTTTTTAATGCAGGAGTGTAGCTTTTAACAAAATTCTAGATTGACCAATACTGGTTCAGATGATAACCCCTGTGTACTCTGGCTTTTTCCACTTTTTTACTCTTGTCCAGAAGAATTTTCATAAGCTTTAATAGGCTCTGCAAAGTAAAATTCTTCACAGGCAATACAAGTTTCAGTGCATGATTTATATTTGACCAAGTCCATCTTTATTTTTGCATTTCTCTTCCATCCATTTTACTAGTCTTCCAAGCACTGATTTCCCTTTACCCATGCATTGCACATAGCTATATCAACAAATATAACACTGGTCTTTACAACTTAGCATGAAAACAGCACTGTGTATAATCACTCAGGAACTGGAATTAAAAAAAAAAAGTTCTTACAGTTGAAGGGAAAACTGTTATCTCTTTGTCCCAAAATAAAATTTTGACAGAATTTAAATGAACAAATTCTAACAATGTGTACTCACAGAAACTCCATTCCCATGTAACAAAAAATAATTAATACATGGACAAACTTCTGTGACCCTTTCTAAGCTTCTAGATTGTATTCTGCCCTCTATGCAGCCAGGAGAATTTCTGCAAAGGTTGCTTTTTGTTTTTAAAAAATATGAGTTTAGCATCCTATGCTAACCAGGAATTCCAACATACAGCCATGCTTAGTTGTTGAACAGCGGTAGCTGGTTCACACATGCTGATATAAGAGGAAAGTGAAACTAAATGCCAGTGAAGGCTTTCTCCTGGACATCAGGGAGGTTAAAGTGCATGAGTCTAACTTCTGCGTAGGCTTTTTCCAGTACATGCACTTTGTGCATTATGCACTTATAAGCATTATGTGTGAAAGTGGCTTAAGTGGTAGTTTAGGACCAGACAGAATTAAAATGGAAACGTAAGGTGGAATTCAATGTCACATACACTATTGCAAATGTTCTGTCTGAGCAAGCTATTTAGCTTGTCAGATAGAATGACTCCCCTTATCTTCCCCATGTCCTGTTCTGGGGGTATTCCAGATCTCTGAGCCAAATTAGGTGGGCATGGGAGGGAAGTCCTGTTGCGCAAGCAGAAGTCTGATGAGACTTGTCAGGTGAATCCCACCTAGAGTAGACCCATTAAAATTAATGGGGTTAACTTAGTCATGTTCATGAATTTCAGGGGGTCTACTCTGAGTAAAAGTTAGTTCAATACCATTCATAAAAAGTTTTTTGTACACATTAAATTATAGCAGTGGGCATAAAGTACAAATGGATTTACACCCTGCAAAAGGAGTATGGATCAATCTTTCATGGCCTCTTATGTGTCTCTGCACCCAATGGAGATGGAGAATCTTGGAGTGATGTTCTGTGCTTTTCCAGTTCAGTATGTTAGTGTTGAATTATGCTGTGTTGTATGTAGTAGCATTTTGAATATATTTCAGACATTTAAAGATAATTCTTTCTGTCATGTTCACTTAGCTTAATTTCATTTTAAGTATATTGGTTTGGATTGAGAATTAATGCTCCACTGGGTTCTTCTTGTGCTGGAGGAAGCAGGGTAGAGGGGGGCAGGGAAGTGATTTACACCCAATGCCATCTTCCTACTGTAGCCCCCTGAAAATTTTCTCTGGAAGACAGGGAGACCCTCTGGAACAATGTGGGAGGTGGTGCAGGAAAAAATCCCCTTCTTCCTCCAGTGCTCTTTATTCTAGTTTCCTTCAGCTGTCAGAGGAACAAGTCTGGATCCGACCCATTATCTTTTACAAAAATACTTTTCAAAATGGTTCAGAAGCACAAATTGTCATTACTTCTAAATTCTAGGGTCAAGTACCAAAGAGTTCTGTTCACACACTGAGACTTTGTTGATTTCGCTGCTGAAGCTTTGGACTGTATTCTAGACAGTCTCCAATTTCTGGGGGAATGAGAGGCTGCAGTGGGAGAACAGGCTGCTCCACACAGTGCATGTATGGCCCTCAGGATCTCTGCCTTGGTCTCCTTTTTTTAAATAAAGAGACATGCCATGTAGGATTAGCATGGTGATAAATTACCTGATTTGGGCAAAGGAAGGCAAGTTTAAACATTTGCAATAAAAATAATGACTACTACTACGAACCTGAAGAATAGGAGTGACAGATGACTGGGTTCATATTATCCAAATAACTGTTTATTTGGTGAACATATACCCTTTAGCTCTCAGAGAAATAAGGTATTTTTAGAAGTAAACTTGCAGGAAGATACTGGGAAGTAACATCTTGCATTGTTCAGAAATTTCTCATGCCAACTTAATTGATTATTGAATGCCAAGATGTGCAAATAAAATTCGCTTAACAAGAAATGCAATGTTATAAACTATAGAGCTATGTTTTACTTGGAGTAGGCCCACTGAAATTAATGAACATAACAGTAATTTCTAAGGTCTACTCTTGAGTAAAACTTAGTTACAAAGTGGAAAAGGAGTTTAAAGGCAGAATTATCTTTAGATTAATTTATTAGGTAATTTTCCAGCTGGGAAGACTTTACTCTGTCCAATTTCTATAACTGAAAACCAGTTATTCTTTGATATATATTGTCTCAAAACTGTAAAGAATCTGCTAGCTACTAGCAGTTTCACAAATACGGTTCTTGTCTAAAGTTTCTGAATCTCTCCATGTTGAATAAATATCCCACTGTTCCTTAAGGACCAAAGAACAACATTAATTTGTGTTCAGTGAATGGTTGTTTTGGGCCACTGATCCTTTTAGCAAAGCAGCAAAAGTAAGATTAAGAAATAAGTGGAATAGGCATTTCACACCCCACCCCAAATATTTATGAGCAAATATCTATTTTGTAAATAACTGACATGTTCTCTTCCATGAAGATGGAACATGTGCAGGGTTCTTTATATTTAAGGGACACTTACATTTATCACACAGATTTTCCCAAACAGTAAAAGGGCTCTTGTTTTGTTGGTAGTTTTCCGACATGTGAGGATGTAGCTGCTTATCAAGAGATAGGAGAGTTCATTTATTGCTAAGAGCCTATGGATGGACATAAATGTTTTCTCATGCTGCCATTCACATGCTTGACTATATTATGAGCAGTAAGCTCTTTTCACATGGGGCACAATCTAGCCAAGGTTAAGCACTTTTAAGTTCCTTTGATTTTTTTTTTTTTTAATGGGAGATAAGCTGGACTTTCCATTGGAATCTGTGAAACTAAATGTGTTTAATGTTGGCAGGATTGCACTCTCATTTCTTTTATAAATGCTGAGTATTTATAGCCATATTGGTTGTGTTTGAAGGTTGCTATGAGTGGGGTTGCTTCAGTTCCTGAAAGCTTTGTACTGTAGATAAATTTTATGTTGGTCCAATAAACAACTTTCCAATAATGTTATGGCCTTCCATTGATATACATAATAGTTTTAGGACCCAACAGCACATGTAGTTGAGAAGGGGCTTCTCTTAATATAGCACTTTCAATTCTGTCTAAGCAAATACTTATCTTTACATGTTGTATAAAATAGATTTGTGTAGTGTTTTGTGATTAAATTCAGTTTTGATTGGCAGCCAAGATATTTTTCTGTGGTTTTAATATATCTAAGGTCTTTGCATATAGAGGATATGTACAATTGTCTGGAAGACTGTTTTCTTCTTTTTCTTTTTTGGCTTTGTGTGGCCTTAGTATATTTATTGACATTTAGCAAGTGTTTTAAAGAGGTTTTTATAATAGTGTAAACTGATGGGAAAATTTTAAGCCTCTCTGTGAATAATCCTCTAACGCAGTGCATTTCTTTTAGTAGCTGACTGTACAAGCGTATCAAACTGTTAAAGTTATTTCTTTGTAAAACAAACAAATAGTACAATGGAATGCATAGATTTTCCCCCTGTAAAGTATTTTTTTAATAAACAGGTCTGATTTGTCCTTAATGAAAACTGCTGTTTGGCAGAAAGACTGTTAGAATATTGGGCAGGGGCAGGGATGGACTTTGGTAATCTTTTGTAATATGGTGCCTTGTGTGAGCCCAAAATTTGGTGTCCCCAAATGAATCTTCTCAGTTATGGATCTGCTCAATTTTTCTCCCCTTGGCTCAGCGCCCTGCGCAGGGGAACCACCTACACTGCCCTAAATCTGGTGCTGACAGGGTGGAATAAACCATTTTAAATTAGAACTTATTACTGGCTGCAAATTAGTCCTGAACTAGACGGTTCCACTGACAGTCATATTGGAAACAAGCAATATGGGAGGGTAGGGTAAATACAGCTGAATCTTTCTGTGCTGAGATGTAGGTATATTTGAAACATTCAATAATGAGTCTTTTATAAATCTGAAGAGCACAATGTTTGCTTTTCAATGTGGCTTTTTTTTTGGGGGGGGAGGAATAGAACGGTCATCACAACCTTGCAATCTTCCTATATTGTATACATTTGAAGCGCAAGAGATAATGCAGTAGTTAAAGAGTCTCTACCCTTTATGCTTCCCGCTTACTACGGGAGAAATCATAACCTGTGCTATCTACACCTGCCAGTGGAGGAATGGAATTGTCCTGCCTCAACACTGCTAAAGAGGTGAACTTCCCAGATTACCTGCGTGCAACCCTTAAGCCAAAAGCAGTGCCAGGAACAGCACTGAGGAGCCTATATGGAACGTATAGAGCTACTGTAGGGATTGGTTTAAAAAAGTCTCACGTCTGATCAACTGCATTGATCAGGCGCTTATAGCAGCTGTGCTTGCATGATCTCCAGAGTCCTATTTGCCGAAACGGAGATTTGTCAGAGGTGCAGCACTGGGTTAGATACGAAGTAGTCATGTAAATGCTTACAGGATGGGCTGCTTAGGGCCGTGGAACTAAGAGCCATGCGCCTATGAAGCAGATATTTCCCCCAGCCGCTACGTGCAAGCACCGTTTGCTTCTAAGTACAACCTAGCAGTTCGAAAGCACATCAAAGTGCAAGTAGATAAATAGGTATCGCTCTGGCGGGAAGGTAAACGGCGCTTCCGTGCGCTGCTCTGGTTCGCCAGAAGCGGCTTAGTCATGCTGGCCACATGACCCGGAAGCTGTACGCCGGCTCCCTCGGCCAATAAAGCACCGCAACCCCAGAGTCATCCACGACTGGACCTAACGGTCAGGGGTCCCTTTACCTTTACAGTAAATACATTTTTTAAAAACCCATCAGAATTGCAACAGCTACAACTTTTTTGCAATTACAGAGTGGTATTTAAGTTAACAGATCAACTATTATTTTTTTGATGCAGACAACTGATGATGATGAGTAACTTACTACATCTGCATGTATCACTAATTTGTGCGGTGCACCAACAAGGAACCTGGCGGAGTCCAGATGTTGACTCCGCTTTCTTTATCTCGCTCCCTACCCCCACCCCCACAACTGGCCAGTGCCCCACTGCCCTCCTTTCCCCGCTGTCACGGGGCCATTCGCCCCTCTTGCGTTTAACGCCCAACTTCGCTCTCCGCCCCCCCCCCCCGGCTTCTGCTGATCCTGGATTCGGCGTTCGGCTGCCGCTGCCTTACTGCCGACGTCCCTTTTGCCGAACGGCGAAGAGAAGATCAGCGGGGGCAGCAGCGCTCGGCTGGCGCTGCCTCGCCCTGAGCAAAGATGTCGGCCGCGGCCTTTCCCCCGATCGGGCCGGGAGCCTGGTCTCTCCCCTGGAGGCGCCGCTCCGCGTTTCCATGGTAACGGTGAGAAGCCACTGAGCGGCGGAGGGCAAGCGCTAGGCCTCGGCGGGGGGAGGACCGCGGGATTAGGGTGGAAACGGGCGACTGCGGGCTCCTGGGGTAGGAGAGAGGCGGAGTGAGTGTGTTGCGGGGTGGGGTAAAGGGTGAGGCTCGGAGGGGCAGGGAAGGGATGCGGGGGATAGGGCTGGGCGTCGACGAGGTGAGGCGAAGGAGGGATGGAGAAGAGGAAAAAGGGAGCTCTGCAGCCGCGTGTGGAGAAAGGGAGGTTTTAAACAGAGGAGTGGTTGGCTTGGCTGAAGATTGCGGCTCCCCGCGTGCAAAGGGGAAGAAAAGGCTGGGAAGGGCTGCGTCGCAACCTGATCGATTCTCAATATTGGCTCGGGAATGCGCAGCAACCTGATCGATTCTCAATATTGGCTCGGGAATGCGCATCTCAAAACCCTCCCGGGAGGAGGTTTTTTTTTGCACCGGAGCATCCCTATGCCATCACGGCGGTGATTCCTAAGCCAAATCCGTCCGTAAAACTTTTTACGTTTTCCGTTAAAAATACAAGCAGCAGCAACCCGGGAGGATTATGATTTAAAACGGGTTGGAAAATTAAAACAAGCTGTTTCTTCTTCTAAAAGCAACACCTGCATATCGTTTATGCAACAAAAAAGATTAGAGCCACCAGCCCAGCTGGACTGTTCTTGGCTGGCCTTGAACCAAGTTGGCCAAGGGCACCGACTTCTGATGCCACCCTCAGGTTGTCTCCTGGATGATGCTTAAGATCCTAGGCTTGGATAATGAACTCTCTTTGTTTTATTCAGGTAATTTGATTATTGATTTTGGAGATGCCAGATGGCCTCAAATGGTGAAGATGCCATTGCTTGGTACCAAAAAAAGGTCAGTCTCGAGGCTTATTTTTGTAATTACTTTCGTCCGTTGTACAGATGCATGTGGGTTTCCCCCATTCTGTAGGTTGTAATTAAAACTGTACCTGAAGAGGGGGAAGGAGGAGGGTTTTAAAGAATATTCATGTTTGTTTTGAACATGGTACGGCAGACTACATTTTTTGGTGCCTGCTACAAAGTTGTTGTAGATCGTTTCTGTGCTTCAGGCTGCAATCCTATACATGCTTACCTAGGCATAGATTGATTTCTTAAGAAGGGTGTGTGAAAATTATTATGGACAAAGTATAATTATGTATGCATTTTCCTTGATTATCTTCTTTGATGTATGATATATTCCCCTTGAGTCAGCATTTTCTTTAACTTATAAAATATTTAAAGGTTTTTGGAGGCTTTCTTCATAAGTTAGTACTATATTGTTTAAGTTTTGGAGGTGGCAATACTCTTCTAAATTTTTGGAACCAGGAAAGCATTAGAATTTAACTAAGCCCCATGCTGGATGCAGCAGGGATTCAGTTGCTGAGAATGGCTGTGTCATTAGGCAAAGGCCATTAGCATATGGGCCATTAGCAGCGGCTCTGCCAGACAGCAAGAGGGTGGGGCTTCTTCTTCTACCTCCTTCCACTGAGAGATAGTTAGCAGAGACAAAGGCCAGAAGTGGTAGAAGGATTAGGATTGTGGTTTTGCCTGATACAAATTTGAGGGAAAAGGTGTCAAATCTGTAAGCAGCAAGCTGGGACAGGGGGAAAGAGGGCCATAGTTTATTTCTGATTGGATCCACAACTGTGGTCATGGGAGAACCAGGACCCTCTTCCTGGAAGCCCCTGTATTGTAGGCTCAGGTTGTATATACAGGTGAAACTCAAAAAATTAGAATATTGTGGAAAAGTTCATTTATTTCAGTAATTCAACTTAAAAGGTGAAACTAATATATGAGATAGACTCATGACATGCAAAGCGAGATATGTCAAGCCTTTATTTGTTAGAATTGTGATGATTATGGCGTACAGCTGATGAAAACCGGAAATTAACAAACACTTGTATGTGTAAATAAACTATACACGATGAAGACACCACTGTCTCTACTGTGGAAATATGAACCCTGGGTAAGTTCCTGGGCCCCTGGAATCTCACTTGTGGATATTGGGGTGGCATGGAACAATATTAAAACATGCAAACATGCAGTTTGCCCCCTGCATTCCCTCAATGCTTTTCATGTCCATAGTTTTAAATAGTGGGATCCTGGGTAATAACTTGATAAATTACTTAATGTCTGTATTGTTAATATTTTGGATTTGGAGATGGAAGTAGAATACAGGAAGCAGTTTAGTTGCCTAGACTCCTCTTTGACTAACACAACTCTTTTTCAGATTGGAGCCTATGATCAGCAGATATGGGAAAAATCTATAGAACAAACTGAGATGAAGGTAAAAATCTCTTTTGTGAAATGACAGAACTCAAAAGTACATTGCATCTTGACAAATAGATACACATGTGAAATAAGCATGCCAAAGAGGATTGTGTAGCATGTAATATTTCCTAATTACAGTTGCCCTGATCTGATACAAGAGCTACTTGTGGTTAAGGAAGTTCTGAAGGTGCACACAAGCTTTCTAGATGGAAAGCAATGGCTTTCTAGTTCACTGCAACATTGAAGACAGCTGAGCGGATGCAGCCTCATTGCCATAAGTGATGAAGTCTGTGCTTGCTGGGAATTTGATCACAAAGGGTCAGTGGAGCTCTAGGTTCAGATTATAGTGTTATGAGAAACTAGAAAGAAGCTGTACTATGCTGAAGAACTGGCAAACTAGGTGTGTTTCATTCTGACAGAAAGGAATCACAATAAAGGAACTGAATGATATGAAGATTGTGACCTTTATATTAATAACTGTGTTTTGTGGGAGTTTGCCCATTTTCTCCTAGTTTTATCTTGGCCTGGCTTCTTTTGTTTTGAATAATTGTACTCTGTCAAATAACCTGTGACTGAGAGATTTGCATCTCTTTGGCAGATTAGCTAAAGATTGAAATTGCCTGTATACGTGGCATATTTCCCTGGGGGGATCATAAGAACATAATGAAAACTCTGCTGGATCTGACCAAAGTGCCATCTAGTTCAGCATCTAGTTCTCTGAGGGGCCAACCAGATGGTCATGGAAAGCCTGCAAGCAGGACACGAGTGCATCTATTATATATTTCATATTTTTATTTATATTTCACTGCTGTTGACAGAGAGTTGTCCTTTGCACACACAAATACAAACTGATTCATTGAATAACTGTATTATTTGCCTTTAGTTATTTTGCAGATTAAGCATAAATAGGCAACCTGAATTTCTTTAAGTGTTTAATTACTAGGTTTTTATCTACAGTAGTGTTGAAATTTTGCAGGAAAGTTCTGGATGATTTTGGACATTACGTGGAAGGGGATAGTAGATTGTAAAATATGATAGGCTTGAGGTACTGTAGGAAACAGGAACTAGTGCAAGGCACAAAAAACCTCATTTCATGCCCCATGACTCCCACCCCAGTGTTCTCAGGTCTGTGTACCTTTAAACACACATTTCTCTCATATTTTCATATTTTTATATAAAGGGTGAGCTTAAAATTTGCTTTTAAAAAATAAATAAAAAGCTAGATAAATAAATAACCTCATCTCAGAAGTCCTGTGACAGTACACAGCCTCTGTGCTGCATATACACGCATAAGTGTAAGGAATTCAAATAGTCAGAGGACATGAATGATTATTTATAAGCCAGTCTCTTTGCTAATGAGATTAGAACTAGGAGATACAAGTAGACAGCCTATTATATTCACCACAAAATCTACTCATTCTTTATGATTAAATTTATAGGGCTTCAAAAACAAACCCAAAAAGAAAGGCCGCATTCAGCCTGATCTTATAGATGTTGATTTAATCAGAGGTAGGTATTGTGTGAATAACTGCATTTGTGCTCATCATCACTATTTTACATGAGTCTGGGAGGTCAGGTAATTATTTCATCTTTTGTATAGGTATGACATTTAGTACAGTTTTAATTTTATCCACAAATTTCTGTCCCACCTTTCGGACCAGTGGCCAAAAAAAGCTGCTTATAATAATTAATAAAATAAAAATAGTAAGCAAATAATAGCAGGGGAGAAATCATAAAAGCTCAACACAGTCAAAAAGTGTGTTGAAATCATGATTTGATGAAAACCGAAAGGAGTGGTGGGACCAGTAGTGTAGGAAGATGCAGGCACAGTAAAAAATTAATTTTGCAGCATCTCTGCACTTCTGAAGACAATAGGACCAGTGATGAATGCAGTGTACAGGCTGGATTAGGTTGGGAGAAAATTGCCCTGTAAGTAAACTGGTCCCAAACTGTTTTCAGATTTATAAGTAATAACCAGTGTTCTGAATTGGTTCCGCAAGCCAATTGGCAGCCAGTATAAATTGCTTTCTAAAGTGTATTACTCCAATCTTGTTCAAGTGACAAATAATGGCCGGGCTGCTCCATTTTGCATCAGCTGAACTTTCCAAACACTTCTCAAGGGCAACCCTATGTAGAGTGCAGTAAACTAATCTAGAAGCGACAAATGCATGTGTAGCAGTGGCCAGATAGGCTTTCTCCAGGAAATGGCACTCCTAGTGCACCAGCCAAAGCTGTGCAGAAACTCTCCTAGCCCCAGCCGATATCTGACAATCCAGCAGCAATGCTGTGTTCAGGAGCACACTCATTAAGGATCTGTTTCTTAAGGGGTGTGAAGACCTCAAACAGAACAGATACATAATCGTATCTTTGTTTTCCTACTTACTGATAATAGCTTTGATGAAGCCTTGCTTTGTTAGCTTGCATCTATTCTGATGTACTGGAAAGGGAAATGTGGGTGAAATCAGCATGTTGATGGCATGCAATCCCAGTGTGATCTCCCACTTCATGTAGATCAGCCTTCCACAGCCCGGTGGCCTCTAGATATTTTGAATGCCAACTCCCATCAGCCCCAGCCAGCATGACCAATAGTCCGGGATGATAAGTATTGTAGTCCAAAACATATGGAGGGTACTACATTGGAGGAAGTTAATGTAGATGTTGAATAGAGTAAGATGGAACCCTTCAGGGACCCCGTTGGCTAAGCAGGTGAACAACAGCCTGCCAATACTATATCCTGGAACCACCCTTTCAGATAGGATTAGAACTGCAGGAGAGCATTCTAAACTGTGCTAGCAGAAGAGGTTTACACTTTACATCTTGCTGTCTATAGCAGGGGCAGGGAACTTTTTAATTTTTATTTAAGAGCTGCATTCCCATTTGGCCAACCCTCCAGGGGTTGCATGCCAGTGGTTGACATGGCCACACCCACACAACCCATGCAGCACACAGGCACATGTTCACTCTCCCTGCTAAGCAATTGGCATGGAAAACCTTTCAAGCCAGATTGCTGGAGGGTGGGTGATCTTCCTCGAGATTGCAGTGGGGGAGGGAGGGTTAACTGCAGAATTGCTACCCTTTAGCAACAATTATTCATTTACATTAGCTCCCACTTGCAGTCTGAAATGATACAGTGGTACCTCAGGTTAAGTACTTAATTCGTTCCGGAGTTCCGTACTTAACCTGAAACTGTTCTGAACCTGAAGCACCACTTTAGCTAATGGGGCCTCCTGCTGCTGTCACGCCGCCGGAGCACGATCTCTGTTCTTATCCTGAAGCAAAGTTCTTAACCTGAAGCACTATTTTTGGTGTATGTAACCCGAGGTATCACTGTACTTCCCTGGTGCATGTTTCACACTTTATCTATTTATAAGAACTAGTCCTGAGCGGCCATGAAGTTTTGCAAATATTTTCCTACATCCACAATTTTAAAGGGAGTCTTGGACTGAGTAAGAGCGGGAAAAAGTCAAATGGATTTCCTCTTAATTCCCAGATAAACTAGCTGTGTTTTTCATGTATGCTTTCTAGGTTCCACATTTGCCAAAGCTAAACCTGAAATCCCTTGGACATCTCTGACAAGAAAAGGGCTTGTGCGGGTTCTTTTCTTCCCCTTTTTTAGCCAGTGGTGGATACAAGTAACTTCCTGGCGTATTTTTACATGGCTGCTAGCGCTCTACCTCCTACAAGGTGAGTAAAGATTGAGATTATGTTAGAGTAGCTTGAAGAGAAAACCAAGATGACCTATTTTAGGATGGTGTAATCAATCTGATCCATCAAATTTAACAGACCTGCTCCAGGCAAATAGTTGGAGGAAGACTTTTGCAAGCAAAAAATCAAGAAGTCAGGAATCAGTCGTAAATCATTCTTCACTTTTGCAGCTTGGTGGTGCATTTGCTCCTTAACATCTTGGAAAAGAAGTGATTTTGAGAGAGAATCTGTCCCTGTAGCTCATCTTCACAGACTTGACCTGGTAGAAATAGCAGTCTAGGATTCTTGTCTGCTCACTCTTGAGCTTGCTTTGCAACACTCTCCTCATTTCTATCTCTCCTTCATATCATTTCCCTTCTATTTACATTTTCTGTTTCCTTTCACTTTCCTCTTTGCCATCACTGACCAGCTTTAAATGGACTTTGATCCAATGAGGAGGAAAGATCAAAGCTGGTCATGGAGTAACCTTATGATCGCAGAACACAAGCTCTGTTGTGTGGACTGCAACAGCACTTGATAAACACATTGTTACCTGGTTTTCATCATTTATCCAGTTCTTTTCAAAGTGAGAGAAAAGTCATGCAAATAATTTTGTTGTAAATTATCCGTCTTAATAATACACCAGCCATGGTGGGAATTATGAATTAGAAGGAATCTTTATTTAGTTGGGAGTCTTTTTCCTAAACATTGTCTTTGTACCAGACTCAACTCCATTCATGGATTCCACTGATAGAATGTAATGCTTCAGAGTGCTTATCCCAGCTAGATTAAAGGTTTAAGTAAACAGTTTTGTGGAGAGCATGTTGTCAGGTATTTGCTTTTCCATTAAACAGTTCCAAAGCTGTGTGCTGTTTGTTTGAGACTTAATTGAGAATATAAGCTTGTTATATTATGTGCCATGTGAATGCATATATGTGAGAACTGGCTATGATTAAATTTTAATTGCTACACAATTTGTACAGCCTGTGGTAAGATATATTAATAGATATTTTGTGGTATAGCTAAGATTATAGGATGTGATTTCACATATAAAGTTCCTATATGGACATTGCAAATGATTCAAGAACAATTAGGATTATATCAGGTAATTACTCCCATTTTGTTAGGAAATGATCCTACAGATTTACAAGATCTGCTATCATACCCTACATTTCAGAAACAACTAGAAGTTAAGAAGTTGGGAGAACAGGCCACATTAGAGGTATACTATAGAAACCACATTATGACCAGCTAACCAGGTGAGGGTAGCCAATGGGTCTCAAACCTTTGGTGAATTAGGGACTTCCCCGGTATACAAATATCTACTCTGCCCATTCCCACTTGAAAAGTAGTCACTGCTTTGCCTTGCAGAAGCATTCATGTTTAGTTGGCTGGAGAGAAGCTAGTAAAGGAAATTTCCCCCCTTCCTTTTGAAGGATGAAACCATCCCATTAGCAGCACCTTGTTATCCGTTGTGTGCTCAGCCAAAATGAGCAAGTTCAGGTGTGAGAGTTTCCTAGAGAGAGCTCTTCCATGTGCTTGGACCAAGCAGGATTGGCCCCCTTTTGCATCAATTGCGGTGGGGGGAGATACCCTGCTAAGTGCTGGCTTTGGATGTGTGAGAGAGCTCCCTGTAGATAGTCACCAGTCTTCCAAATCTTCAACCCAGTTAGATGGGTGGTATATAAATTATTATTATTATTAGTAGTAGTAGTAGTAGTAGTAGTAGTATTCACTTGATTATGGCCCCCAGCAACAAAGAGGTGTTTTTATGTTGTATTACTAAAACAAAGGTTTGCCTGGCAGGCAACTTACATACATTTTTTTCTTCAGTCATAGCAATTGTGTTGTACTACATGATGCCAGTTGTGAGTGCAAGTGAAATTATTGGACCATTGTGCCTTATGCTGCTGATGGGGACTGTACACTGTCAAATAGTATCTACACAGTTATCAAAGCCATCAGGAATTGATGGAAGCAGTGTTGGCCGGAGAAGGAGGTGAGAGAGCAAAGTCAGTAGATTGGAAAGGGTCTCAGTTTTTAAGGTGCTTGCTGGAATTAGAACATACGGTTAGGCACTACAGTGGTACCTTGGTTCACGAATGGCTTAGTTGACAAACAAATTGGCTCCCGAACGCTGCAGACCCAGAAGTAAGTGTTCCAGTTTGTGAACGTTTTTTGGAAGCTGAACTTCCGATGGGGCTTCTGCAGCTTCTGCTTCAGTGCAGGAAGCTCCTGCAGCCAATTGGAAGCCGTGTCTTGGTTTTTGAATGGTTTTGGAAGTTGAACGGACTTATGGAATGGATTAAGTTTGAGAACCAAGGTACCACTGTACTTAAATGTCACCTTTTTGTGTCCTTGGGTGTATATGTTATATAAATTCTCCCTTCCATGTTGGCTGGGACTCCCAGCAGAGGTCATAGGGTCGGCCTCTACACTTGTTGTGATTTGATTCCACTCTTAGAGGTTCAGGCAGAACATGATGACATGAACTCTAGGGTGGATGTATCTGTCATTTCTTGAATGAAGCAGTGCATTTGTATTTTCAGTTCTTACTGCTATTACAGGCATTGTTGGGGATTTAGAATTCTCTTTGAACCCACCCTGCTTCCAAGTTCAATAGGACTGGGAATTGTTGGAAGGAAATGAGATAGGATCATATAGGTGAGGAGTGATGTGTACTGCGATAGGGCATATACAGACCAAACAATGTTCATCATTCCAGTCACAGTGGCATTACCAATACTTCTTGGAACTGGGAATTCCTAAGAGCACATCTTGCTCCTTTGCAAGTATTTCTTTTTAAGAACACTGGAAGGAAATCTGGTGTTTTTATGGTTCCACAGAAATGCCAGATTCAGCAGTACATGGCTAGACCCTTGGTATTGTCTCAGCCATATCAATCTACTGCTGGGAGAAGGCAGAGAGAGAGAGAGAGAGAGAGAGAGAGAGAGAGAGAGGAAAAGAAGATTTCATATATAATCAGTTCATTATGGTCACAATGGATTATCTCCACTCATTCTCCCATGTGTTTATCTGACTCTACCCATGCCCACACAGCCACACACACTAAGTTCACACTGGTAATGTTTGTCTTCCACCTATGTAATATGTGTCAAGGATTCTGCAAGGAGTGAGAGTTTGGCCATCTTACAAAACTCTGATCTGTTGCTAAAACATTTTCTCTAATGTAGGAAAATGCGAAAATTTGCAGGAGGCGATGGCAGCATTCCATACTCTTCCTTAGACAAACTCAGCAGATCTGAGGAGCCGTCAGAGTTTTCATCCAGAATCAGCAGCTTCTTTGACTCAGTATTGCGGAGAAGGAGCAGGGAGGGGTACGGTTGGTAGTGTTGGCTTGTTCCGGAGGTAGCAATTATATATATATTTATCTAATATTTTTCTATCTGCTGACCTTGCCTCTGTTACATCATATTCTAATTTTATGGAATGTTGTCTTTTGTAGGCGATTTAGTTGTTTTTATTTAAATGATGTAAGTTGGCCTTGCATAGGCATGACAAGCATGACGCTCAAGAGAGCGCAAATGGTTCTCCCCTACCCAGTGCTGTTTTTCTAGAAAAACACCTCCCTTGTTCTCTTCTAATGGCAATGGCGCACCCCTAAGAGGTGCTGGAACTGTGTTCTGCTGAGTTCCGGCTGGGAAAAAAGCCCCACCCCTGCCTTCATACTTTGCAACCACCCTGTCAGATAGATTAGGCTGTGGCAGTCCCAAGGCCCTTCATGGCCAAGCAAGGATTGAAACCTTCATCTCCCCAGTGATTGTCTAATACTCTAGCTACTGTACCACACTGTGATTTGCTTCTGAAATGGAGAGAGTTGCATTGTTTTTCTATGTTCTCTTTGGGATAAAAGATGAGGTGTTATTGAGAGGAATTAATACTCTCCCAACTGGTTTTCAGTCAGACAGAGAAATTGTTTTGTTCATCTTTTTTAAGAGTCCTCTTTTCAGTAGATTTTAAAATAGCAATGGGAAATTTCTCTTGTACATAATTATGTCTGGCCTGTTGCCCATGCCTTCTCCAGGGGTTTGAAACTTTGGAACACTTTCTTTTAGTTCCAAGAAAAAGAAAGAAAGAAAGAAGCCAGTGAATGTGTGTGTTTATTCTTTTGATAGAAAAAGAAATGGATAATTCTGTAATCCCTCTGCCATTTCTTGATTTTATTATTATTTTTATTATTTCATGTATGGATCGCTTCCTATGAAACATCTCAACTTCACTTTAAAAATGTGTAGAAAGAAGACATGCTATCTATAGCATTTCCTTCCTTAGGATTAAAAGGGGAAGACGGGTAGCAGATAAAGGGACTGAAACAGAACATAGCAGTGGTGTGAAACGCCGGATTTCCAGATCTGAGCATAGCTTGCAGCGGTCCAAGGAAGCGGTCTTACCTAGTGCAGAAAAAACCCTGGTAAGACATGATTTGAGTTTGATGCTTTAGTTTTCCAGATGCAAATGTCAAATGGGTTTTGTAGGAACAATGATATATATCACAATCCCCCGCATATTTCAGAAAGCATGGAATACAGCTTTGTAAAATGTACTTTGTTGCTGCAAGCATGGATCATTAAAATGATTAGACATTTATTTAATCATGGAAATAATATACTTGGCAAAGCAATTTCATCCTGCCTAGATATTGCTCAGAAAGTCAAAAACCATGCAAAGTCTTTTTTTCTTCTGTGGAGTTTAAATCTGTAAATTCCCTAAAGGGAAGAGATTAGATTGAGGCTGCCATCAAACGCCCTTCGGCCCCTGCTTTTGGATTGAGACTTCCCCCTGTTGCAAAATCATCTAGGAGGCTACTTTGGATGAAGAATTGTTTTTGTTACCACATATTCTTATTACTAGGGACACTGGTGGCTCTGTGGGTTAAACCACAGAAGGTCGGTGGTTCGAATCCCCGTGACACGGTGAGCTCCCGTTGCTAGGTCCCTGCTCCTGCCAACCTAGCAGTTCGAAAGCATGTCAAAGTGCAAGTAGATAAATAGGTACTGCTCTGGTGGGAAGGTAAACGGCATTTCTGTGCGCTACTCTGGTTCGCCAGAAACGGCTTAGTCATGCTGGCCACGTGACCCGAAAGCCAGTAAAGCGAGATGAGCGTCTCAACCCCAGAGTCGTCCACGACTGGACCTAATGGTCAGGGGTCCTTTTACCTTATTCTTGTTACTTAAGAAGGTAAAGGTACCCCTGCCCGTACGGGCCAGTCGTGTCCGACTCTAGGGTTGTGCGCCCATCTCACTTAAGAGGCCGTGGGCCAGCGCTGTCCGCAGACACTTACAGGGTCACGTGGCCAGCGTGATGAAGCTGCATCTGGCGAGCCAGCGCAGCACACGGAAATGCCGTTTACCTTCCCGCTAGTAAGCGGTCCCTATTTATCTACTTGCACTTAAGGGTGCTTTCGAACTGCTAGGTGGGCAGGAGCTGGGACCGAAAGACGGGAGCTCACCCCGCCGCGGGGATTCGAACCGCCGACCATGCGATCGGCAAGCCCTAGGCACTGAGGTTTTACTTGTTACTTACTTTATCATTATTCATTGCCTCTCCTTTTTTTAATTGCTTTATTGATTGTAAAACAAACAAACAAACAAACAAAAAGAAACAGTCAACAAAAAACCCAAAGGTTAATACGAATTACAAAAGATAAGTTAATTTCGTACAACACAACTTCTGTTATGACTTCCATTACCTCATTATCTCTTTAATCCTACCTTTCCTCCAAGGATCAGAGGGTGGCACATGTGGTCCCCCGCCCCCAAACTTGATTCTCAAAACACACCTGTAATGAGTGATGAAAGATGAAAGTCAGTTAATGACCCAATGTCACCCAGTGTGTTTCATGACCAATCTGAGATTTAAAGCCCCTTGATGGAAGGGATACCTGCATTGCATCCAAACTCCTTCAACATGGTAGATTACTTTGCCATGCTACCATGTAGGAAAATAGCAGTGCAGGTTCTTGTGACAGCAACTTAGCCCTCTGTCTCACAGCCTGGAGCAAATGGCAGTGCTTTTAGGAGAGTAATAACCATGCTGATAACCATATGTCGCAGAAACTAAAGTTTTGGTTGCAATTCCTCTCCTTTCAGTTGTTTGCTTGTACAGTGGTACCTCGGGTTAAGTACTTAATTCGTTCCGGAGGTCCGTTCTTAACCTGAAACTGTTCTTAAGTTGAAGCACCACTTTAGCTAATGGGACCTCCTCCTGCTGTCGCTAATTTCTGTTCTCATCCTGAAGCAAAGTTCTTAACCCGAGGTACTATTTCTGGGTTAGTGGAGTCTGTGGCCTGAAGCGTATGTAACCCGAGGTACCACCGTAGTGTTTAGTTGGTACTATTAACAAGCAGTTTTCTACTTACTGGTAACTATTACACAGATTATGCTACATGAACATGACGAGTTCGATCTGCATGATGTTGACTAGCTTTCATTCTAACTTGTACTCTTTTCAGGTTAATGCCAGGCGCTCTGGGGTTTCTGATGAGCTGTCAAGTGAGGAGGATACAGATGCTGTGAGTCAGAACATTTTGTTGCGCAGAAGTGTAGAAGGTGCCCCTAGTGAAAATCAGAGCAGGAAACCTTCTGTTACTACTTCTGCTTCTCCAAACCAATCAGTATCACAGGTAAGTTACAGTTTCTGTAACAGTGATTGCTGTCTTAGAGAAGTAATTACTCCACTTCCACAGACCCGGGTTGGGTGTCATCTTTGATCAGAAGCAGCTAGAAAATAAGCTGTTAAATTTTATTTGATCCTAAAGCCCTGGATTAAATGCTGCCACGTTGTTAAATGTATTTCAACTTCTCAGTACTTGGGAATGCCTGGAAAGGAAATGAATAATGCTTATTTCAAATTGACATAAAATGTAAGCCACTTTTCCTAGTATATTTAATGTATTAATACGGTTTGCGTTCTAGATGGACATAACAAAATATAAAATAGAATCACAGAACTGACACTGACATCTAGGATGACGACTTTCTGTTTTGGTACCCAAGGCCTTTTCTGACTCACTATCCCTGTAGACTCAGTAGTTTTGCTTGTTCTAGAGTAAACCCAGAACGAAACATGAGTTTAATGGTACTTAAAGAAAATAAAGCGTAAGGATTTTAGACATGAAGATAAAAATAAATCTATTAAAAAGTACTTCATAGATAACAGTATTTTCAGATGTTAAGGATAGGAGTAAGTAGTTCAAGATTAGAGGCTTCACATTTCGAGCTATCTAAAGTTAATTTTAAAGCAAAACTCGTTTGCTGTTGATGAAAGGAAATAACTGTTCAGAAAAGTTATATAAAGAAGGTCCCTCTTCTTATATAACACCAAGGTGCCTGCGGTGGCAGCAGAAAAACAGGAGGTGATGGTCTCCTAAGTGGCAGCTAGAGTTTGCAGTTGTCATAGGCTTAAGGGAAATCATTTGGCTATTTAGATGACTTCATACACCTGCATTTTTAAAATTAAAAATCCCAGCTATTGGAGCCTTATGTACAAGGAAGTAATGCAAAAGTACCACTTGATATATCAATTCTGTTAGCTACTCTTGCCTTTTCATTGTACACTTCAGAAGTATGGATGGCAAGATGTATGTGTCTATGGTGGCTCCCCATGGGTTTTAGAACCCTGATTTCCCAGCATTCTACAGCTCGCATAAAGACCCCACTTCACTTTCTGCAAGTTGGAAGGCAAGAAGAAATGGCAAAGTAAGGTGGTGAAGGAGCAAGATTAGGACTAAGCCGCCACCTCTGGTTATGTTTATGTAGGGGTGTGTGCAAGCACACACACACTTTGGACAAGAGAAAGGGGAAGATAAGAAATAGTATGTTCATTCCCACATGTAAAAGTTCTGCACTTACTGTCTTTTGTGATCTGAGGCAGATCAAGGAGGTCGTGAAATCTATGCAAGACTCTGACAGCATAGAGGAATCGGAACTGGATGCAACAGTTATTCATGAGGTACCAGTTTACGCAAAAGTTTAGATTATTAACAGTATGTCACATAAGTTGAAGAGCCTGGATGCAGATAATCACCCTTTTTGAATTTGGGATTATCTTTAGCCTTATGCGAGGAAGTAGTTGCTGATGTTTTATTCTTAAATGACATGACCCTTTCAGTGCAACTTTAATTGGGTAGGTGATGATGGAAAATGAAATGAATGACACCTGTTTCCAGTTGAAACATACTACTTTATCTCAATGTCTGCTCCTTGCATTGTCTGAAAAGGCACATTGAGCAGTTCATAGTCAGCAGAATGGGAATAAATATGTGCTCCTTACTTGAGTATTGCATTTTTTTGCTAAATATCTCTAGGTATACCTATAGCTGACTCAAATATTCATCATGCTTTGCTATACCCAATGTGAGACTCAGAATGCATTCTTGTTGTAAGGGTAAAATGTTCTTCTGTGATGTGCCACTTCTATTTAAAAGCGAACAAAGAACTGGCCAGTTTATTTTTAGGAATACAAGATTCTAAGGTGTATAGCCCACTTAGTTTTGGGGGTGAAAAGGGAGATCATGACATTTTATATAGCATCAGAGTGGAGAAATGGGAGAATTTTGTTGAACTTTGAATGGCTTTTTTCATTGACTCTTCAACAGTGGGGATCTCTTGTTTTCACCACTTAAAAATTGGTTTCTACTGAGAAACTCCATTTCGTTAAAGCTCTCCACTGACAATAAAAATTCACCCCAAAATATCACACAGTGCTCTGTGACTGGTGTTCTTTGGACACTGATCTCTTGTGTTAAGGCAAATATGTTGCTCTTTCCTTTCTAAAACCAAATTTATTTCTGTATGAAATAAAATTTAAATCTCTACCAATCTGGAGAAAATCTTCTTACCTGCCTTCCAGCACTGGCAAGTCATAAAAATGTTGACTTCACTGGTGCACTGCAGCTCCAATGAATCTATTAAAGCAGAAAACTAGCACATAAACTGGTTTATCTAACACTATTTTTTCTGTTGCAAAATTAAATTCTGGGCAGGTGAAGTATCCCTATTCTTAGCTTGTCTCTAGGGTCCTGCATTACATATTGCAATGCTTCTGGATGAGTATAGGACACATTTGTCTATTACGTTTGTACTTTGTGGTAGTGCCCATGTCTCTCTCCCTCCGGCTTTCATTTTATCCTCACCAAAACCTTGTCAGCAGCCAGTTTGGGAAAACATGTGTTTTCCAGGATACTTAAAGAAGAGGAGGAGAGTGTTTTCAGTCACAAGTACACCACTTGAGAAGCTAGTGATTGCAGCAGTTGCCTGGTATGCTTTTCTGCAATCTGTGATTGAAATGCATGCCCTTTCTTACCACTGAGAATACTTATGCTTGCTATCAGCACCCTATTCAGTGTAAGTACATGAGTTCAGCATGATTCTCTGGTCCCTGGAGGGCATGGTTATGTATGATTCCCTTTGCAGGGGGACTTTGTAGAAAATGCTAAGTTAGCAGACCCAGTGAAAACACGGCAGACAATTCTAAACAGAGGAGGAATCTGTACATTTTTCTTGCTAGGAATAGGGTTGGGCTTGTTTGCAGTGTTGCAGCTTAAATCAGTAAAGCATTGTACAGGGGCAATTTGGGCCTCATTGAAGTGGCTATTTAGTGACTGGTCTCAGCTGAATCAGTTGGCGTGACGTTTCCTTGCAGGAGTCCAGATCCTATCATAGTAGTGGATCTCGGAGTGGCAGTGCATCCCACAGAGACTCATCCAGCACCCGCCATGACTCTGAGACAGAAGATGTGCTGTGGGATGACTTGCTTCACGGGCCCGAGTACCGCTCCTCCTACACCAGTGACAGCGAGGGAGCCAAAGGAAAAGAAGCAAAGGGAAGCAAACGTGATCTGAAGGAGGATGTTTTCCAGCAGGTCTGTAACATGTGAAGTGTTTCCCTCGCCACTGTAAATTAAGTGAATAAAAAGCTAGAGTCAAACTGCCAAAATCTCCCCCTCAAGCAACAGGGCATGAAACTCCTTTGTCAGGAGTTTCTGTGCACAAAAGTCACTTCTCTTTGTCATTTATCTGGGAGTGTAGTTGGGTTTGTGGTTCAGTTCTGGAGTATTAGCTTAGGCATATTCCGCTAGATGGCCTCAACGATACAAGGGCAGGGCTAAGGAGAAGATTTCCATGAATGGTGTGGGAGACTTGAATCTTGGTGCATGGCAGTGATCTATCAAGTGCCAGAGTCTCAGCAATGGCTGTGGGGCATTGGAGAGTTATATTCCCTAAGCCTCCTACTAAAGAGATTCATCAAAGTGAAAGGAGTTTTGTTTGTCAAATGGGGGAAATTTCTGATATGTACCTGTGACATTAGCACAGTTTGCATATGAAATAAATGCACTCTCTGGGAAAGCATAAGTATAAAATACTGTGTCCTTCAAGTGCTCAGAAAATGTTGGTACTATTGGTGGAAGCCATGTTGATTCAAAGCAGCAAGTGCTAAAACAAGTGTGTATTTCTTGCGCAAAAAAGATTTTGAGGAGACTCAGCTTATAGGGCCTCATAGATATGGTGAAAGCTTCTTGTTCTCAGAATTACTTAGCCCTTCAACCTGCATAATGTTAAAGCCATCTGTACGTTATTATAGGCAATGATGGCATCCAAAGTGTGCAGTAAGGGTAGAGCCTTGAAGGGTGTTCATGCATATTCAAATATGGTCCGTCTCTTGAACAGTGAAGTTTGACGTCTTAGTGGCAAAGTGTTTGCTAATGTGTCACTAAAGCTACTGTTTTGAAGCTATTTTTCCCCATGTTAGAGACAGATTTTCCAGAATGTGGCTCCAAGATGCGTTTTCTTCCTCAGAACCACTTGTTCTGGCTACAGAACACAAACCCAGCCTCTACCAAAGTGAGTGCCCTCATCTGGGAGGGGAATGAGTGCAAGAAGGTGGACATGTCTGTGCTGGAGATCAGTGGGATCATCATGAGCAAGGTAAGGGTTATGTGCATTGTGTATTTTGGGAGGAAAAACGTGACATTTTCTGTGCATTTTGGGTCAGGTTAAAGATGCTATCATTGCTGTATACAAACAATTAAAATTGCTCCAAGTTGTCCCCCACCTTAGCAACTCCTGCTGAAACATGACAGGTGGACTGTGATATGGACATTCAAGGCTGGGGGAGACTGCAGCAGCCATTTAATTGTAAGGAGAAATGTGGTCAACAAAAGCTTACCATAATATATGTGTTCATTTTCAAGGTGCCACAAGACACTGCCCCCCCCCCCAAAAAAACAGATTAATGCTGCTACCATTCTGGAAATTGCTATGGGGAGAAATGGGTTTTTTTGGGGGGGTGTTAACTGTTAAAATGAAACATTTCTTGCAGGCTGTGAAATTTTGCTCTTGCTTTCCCTAACCAATAGGTCAATGCCTATCAGCAAGGAGCTGGTTACCAGTGGCTAGGAAATACTGTTACCATTGGCTTAGCTTTCCTTCCATTTCTCTATCGACTCTTCCACTCCAAGACCCTGGAGCAGTTATGGACCCTTTCTCTAAAAGAACTTTTATATATCTTTTGCGGGGCTCCCACCATACCTCCGGTCGTCGCCCTTTCAGCAATCATCTTCCTTGAGCGCCTGTGCCTCACCTGGATGTTTTTCTTCATGATGTGTGTTGCCGAGAGAACATACAAACAGGTTGGTCTGAACAATCAAGCCTTGGGGCAACTAGTAGGCCAGAAATGCCATGGCAGTGAAATGGTTGCCACTGAAAGCACCAGCATAATAATAATAATAATAATAATAATAATAATAATAATAATAATTTATTATTTATACCCCACCCATCTGGCTGGGTTTCCCCAGCCACTCTGGGCTGCTTCCAACAAAATATTAAAATACAATAGTCTGTTAAACATTAAAAGCTTCCCTAAACAGGGCTGCCTTCAGATGTCTTCTAAAAGTCTGGTAGTTGTTTTTCTCTTTGACATCTGGTGGGAGGGTGTTCCACAGGGCGGGTGCCACTACTGAGAAGGTGCTTTGCCTGGTTCCCTGTAACTTGGCTTCTCACAGCGAGTGAACCGCCAGAAGGCCCTTGGTGCTGGACCTCAGTATCTGGGCAGAACGATGGGGGTGGAGATGCTCCTTCAGGTATACTGGACCGAGGCTGTTAGGGCTTTAGCACCAACACTTTGAAGTGTGCTCAGAAATGTACTGGGAGCCAATGTAGTTCTTTCAAGACCGGTGTTATGTGGTCTCAGCAGCCGCCCCCAGTCACCAGTCTAGCTGCCGCATTCTGGATTAGTTGTAGTTTCCAGGTCACCTTCAAAGGTAGCCCCACATAGAGCACATTGCAGTAGTCCAAGCAAGAGATAACTAGAGCATGCACCACTCTGGCAAGATAGGGTCTCAGCCTGCGTACCAGATGGAGCTGGTAAACAGCTGCCCTGGACACAGATTTGACCTGTGCCTCCATGGACAGCTGTGAGTCCAAAATGACTCCCAGGCTGCACACCTGGTCCTTCAGGGGCACAGTTACTCCATTCAGGACCAGGGAGTCCCCCACACCCACCCAGCCCCGGTCCCCCAAAAACAGTACTTCTGTCTTGTCAGGATTCAACCTCAATCTGTTAGCTGCCATCCATCCTCCAACCGCCTCCAGACACTCAGACAGGACCTTCACCGCCTTCACTGGTTCTGATTTGAAAGAGAGGTAGAGCTGGGTATCATCCGCATACTGATGAACACCCAGGCTAAACCCCCTGATGATCTCTCCCAGCGGCTGCATGTATATGTTGAAAAGCATGGGGGAGAGGACAGAACCCAGAGGCACCCGACAAGTGAGAGCCCAGGGGTCTGAACACTCATTCCCCCACCACTTTCTGAACACGGCGCAGGAGGAAGGAGCGGAACCACTGTATAACAGTGCCCCCAGCTCCCAGTCCCTCTACGTGGTCCAGAAGGATGTTATGGTCGATGGTCTCTTTCATGTTCTTTCTCCCAAGCTTCTAGTATCACAAAATGAGTGTGGTGTTACTGGGTTGCATCTTTCCCCTCTGCATGCAAGTGGCAGCTTGTGGAAAGAGTCTAAATGGATTATGTTTTCCTCCTCATTTGACACCCTGCAGTAATGTGTTTCCTAACCTGGATAAATGTTATTGAAGGGTTCCTTAGCATATTGTTTATTAACCTGACTGCAGTAATGGTAAGAGGAGGATCTGGTTGTGAGTCCCAAGTTACAGCAAAGTGCACTTTGTCATGACAGAAACTTACTTTTCTTTTACAGCGGTTTTTGTTTGCAAAACTTTTTAGCCATATCACTTCTGCTCGGAAAGCCAGGAAGTATGAAATCCCTCACTTTAGACTCAAGAAAGTTGAAAACATTAAGATCTGGCTATCACTCCGGTCCTACCTAAAGGTACGTCTAAAAGCACTGGCATCTCAGCCTAAACAGAAGATTCCAATTGCTACTGTATGTTTTCAAAGGAGTGAGACTAGCCCTGCCTCCTTTGTACAAAAACTATGAAAGAGCCTGCTGCCTAGGACTGTGCTGCTGTTTTCAAGTGAGTGCTTGTTCCACCAAGCACTGAGTGAGACCAGCCCCATCTCCCTTGTGGCAAAATCTAAGAAAGGACCTGCCACAAGGGATTGCATGTTGCACTTGGTGAAGAGGTCTCTTCCCGGAGAGAAGGCATCAGCTGGCAATGGGCTGGTGCTTAGCAGCAGTTTTTGATAGCTTTGAATTATGAGTCAGTTTTGAAGTGCATTGTTTGTTGAGTTGTTTATATGCTATTGCTTTATATGCTATTGTGTTTTTATGATTATGTTGATAGAAAATGTATGCCATTTTCTCAACAATGTTGAGCTCAAAGTAGCTCACAATAACAATAGCACTAAAATTAGCAAATGCTGAATCAAATAGAACTGTTTCTGTTGCTCTCTTTCTTGCACACTTTCCTGCTTTGATAATTCATTTTTTTGTTGTGGCAGAGGCGAGGCCCACAGCGATCTGTCGACGTGGTTGTATCTTCCATCTTCTTATTGGCTCTTTCCATTGCTTTCATATGCTGTGCACAGGTAAGATCTCAATAATTATTTGAAGATACAATGCTGATCATCAAATTTATATATTAATATAGTACTAATACAAACATCTGAGTTTGGGTGTATGTGAGGAGAGTTCCACCTCAAAGGGAAAATTGTCCATTTAAAGAACTTGGAACTAAAAAGCTGGACCTGAATTTACTTGTTTCTTCCTCCTTTTCAAACATTTTTTCAAACATCACTTTAAAAAATTGTAATCCAGTGAGCAGGAGTCCCCCCCTCCCCAAGTGATGTGTAAGCTGTTCCAGAGGAATTCTTTGACTGAAAAACAGGATAAAAACAATTCTCTCTCTCTTTTTAAAAAAGTAGGTTTATAGCTAAAATTCCTTTTTTATTTGGTACATTTCCTCTCCCCAGAGGAGAGACCTTTATAGAGCAGGCATGGGGAATCTCTGACCTCTGTGCCTAATTAGGCCCAACACACATCTTGTTGGCCCAAGAGGCAGTTTCCCCCAGACCACGGCCACTTGTTCCACCCTGAAAGTTTATGTGATGTCAGGTGAGTGACAGGTGGAGACACAGTTGCCCGTGAACAAGTAGGAGCCTTGCCACCCGACCCTACCCCACTCACCATTCCCCCATCTTTTCTTCCTAACCTAACACTGTATGTAACACTAATGTCTCACAAAAAATAAAACTGACCTGTAGAAAACATCTTGAAAAAAGAGACTACACACGTTTTTTCGTAAACTAAGAAATCTTTAATAAAAATATATCTTAAAAAACACAAGTGGGAGCCTTAAAGTGGCAATGCACTCCCAGTAGTGACATCAAGCCTTCCTTACCAATGTACTACCAGTCAGCTGGGATTGCTTATGCTAATAACTTCCCCATGGCGGAACTCCATAGTACAGCTCATCCTAGCAGAAAACAGAGGTTGAAGTCAGTGCCTATCAGCTCCCTGGGAACTCTGTAGTCAGTTGATCCTTCCAGGGGCTTGCAAAGAGCAGACCAGGGCTCTTTGGAAGCTCCTTTCACCTTGCAAAGTGCCCTGTTTGGTGCTTTGAAGAGCCCATAATCAGCTGATTGGTGCTTCAACTATGCAGGTTTTTTTGTATGCTCCCATCAGCCCTTACATGTGTTTGGCAGGTGGTGGCTTCACCCAGGCTTAGGGGAGTTAAGGATCTGGCCTGCTAGCCTCATCTAGTTCTCCACCTCTGTTATAGTGGCTGCTTTACATGCACTGGAGAAGCACCCGCCTGTTCTTTTATATAATGCAAGCTGTTCTAAATGACACTATAGAGAAGGTAGCATCTAAACTCAGTTACAGTAATTTCAGCTTCTTGCTTCCTTTAATAATCTATTTCATAACTGACAAGATACCCAATACAAAGCTGAACTCAAGTGGCCAAGCATGGTTTAAAGCACCAAGTTTGTTCAGCTAACAACTCAAGTGCGGACACTTTCCACTCTGTCAGCTTTTTTTCTTCCCATAGTTTAGGTTCCTTGCTAGACTGGAGACAGTCATCTGTTGCAAGATACAAACTCACAGGGGCATAATTCTGCTCTTTCTAAGCCCTCTGCTGTGACATATGATTAATTCAACTGAGAAATAGGACAGGGAAGATGCTATAGAAGCTAATGGGGCAGGTGGGAGGAGTTATTTACATTTTCCTCACCTGCTAATTCTTTCCTACAGCCTCCTTGCATTTCTGTTACTTTAGGAAACATGTTCGAGATTATTTTTTGCTTTTGTGTGAATGATAGTTGTGTTCTTGCTGTGCAGGCTCTTTAAGTGCCCTACACTTTTTTTCTAGAGATAATCAGAAGTATTTAAACAGGTACACAATAGCATTGTGAGAAGAAATAAACGAAGTCCCCATTTTGTACTATAGCAGCTGTTATAGCTAGTAAAGGGCAGTTTGCTGATTTTGTTGTGTTTTCCCCCCACAGGTTTTAAAAGGTCACAAGACATTCTTGAATGCTGCTTACAACTGGGAATTCCTAATCTGGGAAACAGCCCTGCTTCTCTTCTTGTTGCGTTTGGCATCCCTGGGCTCTGAGACCAACAAGAAATATAGTAATATTTCAATTCTACTCACTGAGCAGGTATTTTGCCTAACACGTACCCTTCTTGTGATAATAGGTTATCAAATACATAAACTAAAATTGATAACCTGGGGTCTGTTCACTAGAAATTATTTGCCACTTTCAGTTTGCCATTTATGCCTGTAAATTGTTAGAATTCCTGCTCCATGATTTCAGTCATGAGATTTTTGTCTATCACATGACAGTTATGTTTTGACTCCACAGAGTGGGAAGTGACGAAGACAGGATGTTTGTGTTACTGTGTTCTGTGAAGTGGGACTATTGTCCTTTGTTCTTTTTCTCTTTGCTGTCTGATGCTAGAGAAAGAGGGAGCCATGTTGCAATGCTCCGTGTGTGTTTATATGTAAATAAAGTAGATTAGCCAAAATTCTGAGTTGCTGAGGTCTGTCACGCAAGTTGCGCAAACTCTGCGGATCCCTAAGTGTGCTGGTGTCGGCATCGGTCGCTGTGATGTTCAGGCTGAAGAAAGATTTGGAGCTCCCGAACGATCGACCAGGAGGGAGAAAACATGCCAGTTGGGCATGTTTCTCTGTCAGGGTCCTACTCGAGTGTAGGCTGAACTCCTGACATAAATATCCATACATTTAGATCTTTGTACAGTTCACAAGTAGTCTGTTACTTACCAACTTTAATCTATATAAAATGAATTTATTAGTTTTGAAGAACAAGCTGGTCTTCAAGCCAGGTGCTTGAAGATATTGGGGTCATTTTGTTAATGGCTACAAAGTGCCACACTTGCACATTTAAAATGTAACAAAATTCCAATGTTTAATTTTCATCTTTCAGACCCAGTGCATGTTCTGAAGGCTCATGAGGCCTTGCTGAAGCTAAGCAGGTCTGGGTCTTGTCAGTGCCAAGATGGGTGAGCCCTTGGGTACCAGATGTATGATGCCCTTAGTTCTATAACAAAAGGCAGGATATAAATGATGCTGTATCCGATTCCTTGTATTCCTGCCCCCTTTACAAGCTACAAATCTACTTTTCCTGCTACATGGACTCTAAAAATATACCCTTCATGAAGCACCTGTCTATGTAGCCAGGATTTGTTTAGACACCTGTCTTCTAAGGCTATCATCTCCCTTTCTCTGAGGTACCCATGTTTCTGGTAGAGAGACTAGCTTGTCTCTCATTTTGGTGCTAGGGTGTATTGTAATTTGCTGACCCTCCTTTGGTATGCAGGCAAATGGTTGATTTTTTTGAGGGGGGGGTAACTTCAAGCATTTTAGGTGTGTGTGTATTTTAAAGCTCCTTGTGGGGGCCTGTGTTTCTGCTGCTTTGCTTATGAGTTGATGAAAAGCACCATGCTAATAAAATGGCAAGTATTTACGCTTTATACCGTATTTTATGCTGTTTTTTATAGCATCAATTAAGTGCTTTAAATTTGTTGTTAGCCACCCTGAGCTCAGTTTTCTGAACCGGGAAGGACGGGGTATAACTAAAAAATTATTATTATTATTGTTGTTGTTGTTGTTATTATTATTATTATTATTATTATTATTTTACTTCAATTAATAGTGCCTAAGGCTAAGGATGGGTGAAGGAATGTTGCTTATGCTGAGCATGCCTCCTATCCCTCCTATCCCTATAGGTGAAGGACAGACTTGGATCAATAAAAGATGTGAACTGTTGTTTTTTTTTAATCTGTTGCAGATAAACTTATATCTTAAGATGGAGAAGAAGCCAAACAAGAAAGAACAGCTCACACTGGTGAACAATGTCTTAAAACTTTCTACCAAACTCCTGAAGGTGAGCAGTTCAGAACTATGTAACTCTTTGTCTGTTTAATACTTGATAAAATGATGTTTGACCATTTGAAGGGTTTTTTTGTGGTGCCCATTTGGGAAGGGGCAGAGCACATACTTTGCATGAACGTCTCAGGTTCAACGCTTGGCATTTCTAGGTAGGGATGGGAAATCTTGCTGTCTGAAACCCTGAAGGATCAGTGTGGACAGTACTGACCTAGATGGTCCACTGGTCTGACTCAGTGTAAAGCAACTGCCTATGTTCCTAAGCAAGACTAGCCCGTTAACTTTCCTTTTCTGATGGCAGGAGTTAGATACTCCATTTAGACTGTATGGCCTGACAATGAATCCCTTAATCTACAACATTACTCGTGTGGTGATCCTGTCTGCAGTCTCTGGTGTTATAAGTGATCTACTGGGATTCAACATTAGAGTAAGTATTGATGTGTCTGCATGCAGAGTGGCTAGTTCAGTTCGGTGTTTTTCTGTACTCAAGTTCATACACTGAAGTACAGCCTTCCCTTCCTATGTACTTGATGATGCTGCAACAGATACTGTTACCAATGAAATCAGCAATTGGGCCTCACGATTCTGGACCTTCAGTTTGAAACCAAACCAAACCAAACCAAACCAAACCAAACCAAACCAAATCAGAGAAGGTCGCTCAGTTTAAATCATTGGTTTCTGCTGCTTCATGTGTGTAGCCTGCAAATGAACAATGATCTGACAGTTGCTTGTATATGCTTTAAAAGGCTTAGTTTTGAACTATGAAGCTACAGTTTTTTAGATTGATTTTTAAAAATTCAATTGTTAAGCTACTCTCCTGATATAATGCCTACTTAATTTTTTAGTTGTGGAAAATCAAACCGTGACTTGAAGAAGAAAGAAGCTTGGGCCCTTGTCCAGTGCCACAAGAGTTATCAGCAGTCCTGCATGGGCTTGGAATGGCATTTGAAGGTGCTTCTCTCATTTTAGTAGTCTTCACATCTTATGTTTTTCATACATTCTGTCAAGACCAGAATAAATTAATTTTATTCTCAGTGAGGCCATGGCTTGAAGAAATGGTTAAAGAAACCTTAGTAAACGGGCTTCTTAGAATAAAGTTATTTGACAAACCTGCAGCTCCCATGGAGTGCAGTAGTATGAAATCTTACAACAGATATTTGTTGCATAAACAAAACCACTGCATCAAGCCAGTCATTTTCTGACCTGAAAAGGCTTGCTGTTAAGTCATCTGTAAGGGGAACAGAACTTAATGCATATTAGGAACATGTTAAGGGACATGTTTTTAAAATGAGGTGGCTGAGCATGGTGCTGTGTTCTAAGTTCAGAGAGGTGCTTGTTTTTGGCAGAATCACCTCCTTTTGGTAGCTTGCTCTTGACCTACTTTAAAGTGCCTCCAATAAAATTTTCTTGAATGGCACTAGACTTAGCAGCAGAAGCTGCTGGAGGCCTTGCCTACTGATGTTGATTTATAAGAGAAGGAAATTATATACTCAACTTGTGGTGATGGATTTTTATCTCCAGGCATGCAGCGGTTGCTTAGGAACACACAAACAGCTCCAGAAGGTGGCTTACAGTAGGCCTGCCACACACACCAGGAGTGATGACAGTTTTTATATGATTAGCATTCTTCAAATAACTCATTATGTGAACTCAGACTGATCTGAACAAGCAAAGCAATCTCTCCATGAGAGAATACAGCAATGTTTATATGCTTCCAGAGAGAGCAGATATTCTACAGTATTTAAGAGGCAATTAGAACCAAATTTCTGCTGGGATAGATTACAACACCCATTGCTGGCATTTAGCTGCACGGAAAGTGGGTTGGACCTGAAAATTTTCCCACTGCAGGGGGCTATTGATTAAAGAACTTTACACACAATCCTTCCCAAGTAGGGTAAGTATTAGGGCTGTGGACTGCTTCACACAAGAAAATTTTCTATAGCTGTACTGATTTTCACATATGGTATATATATGGTTTACCATACATAAATATTTAGAACCTACATGGCAGCTTCTGAATGTACATGGCAGCAAACCCATATTTCTATGTTTTTCTATTTGTGATACTATAATTTTATTCCTGAATCCACATACAAATATGTGAAGTAACTCTAAAAGGGCTTACCAAATTATCACTGAGTGGTTGGTTGCTGTCACTAGTATGTATGGAATAGTTGAATATTTTTAAAATCAGCACTGCCTGTAGCATCTTAAGCAAGATATACTTTGTATATGATACTGTTTATACAAACAGCTTTGTATGAACTGTTTATTGTCATACAATATTCTTCAAATCCAACTAAATGTTAGTAATCTGGATGAATAAAACTAATATAAACACTGAAGTTTTGCTATGTTCTTTTCTGATGACAACCACTGTGTTTACAGGTAAAAGGGCCATTTGTGAGAGATGTGTTGGCTGCAGGTGGAAGGTTAATTTTACATTGTGCTACAGCTGTGAGAAAAGTAAAATTAAATCTTTGAGATGTTTCTACACAAGCAGAAGCATGAACAATGCTATTGAGCCTATGTATTTTAGAATTTTTGAACTTGTACCTTCCTGCTGTTCATGATCTTTTACATCCAATCTATAGTTTTTTGTGGCCCTGCAATCCCTCCCAACCATTTCTCTTACTCTACATAATTTGATTCTGCAATGCCAAACAGTTTTGTGATCTCCAAAATTTCCCCCTTTTGAAAAATGGTCATGCCTGCATTTACAGTGTTAGCTGGGGCCAATGCAGCCCTTGGCCTGAAAAAAGTTATATACCCTTGTTCTAATGCATAAAATACTGAAGAGGTGATATTTTCATAAAGTACAGTACTCCAGAAGCCATGAACTAGAGTCTCTTTTTAATGTATCTATATAAAAAATAATGAGCGATTTACAGGTCTCTTTCTAATCAGAACCTTAGAAGTATATATAAAGGTGCTGTACAATATATAAACATTTACATCCAGTACAACCATAGGTTTCTCAACATTCCAAGGCCACATTGCTAAAGTCATTTTATGCAGTTAAGTACAGATACAAAGTCTCTGGGTAGAAGGGCTCACATCAAACAGAGGACAACAAATTAGGTCACGCCATTAAAGGTTAAATTGCATATGGATAATGATTACTTGCTGAATAATGGAGGGGGGAACCATTTTAGTTTTACTAAGTCAGCTTGATATTTCTGCAGTTTTCATTCAACACTATTCTGTGACAGTATAAGAGAATCTTGAAGGGATGTTTCATGATGTTTGTCAAGGTATTTAAACTACATAGGCTAACTCAAGTATTAAAGATTTTCACAGTAATTTTCTACAATATTTGCACATACGTCCTACAGCAACTTGAGTTCTTAAATGAGAGAACAAAAGACACTTCAAAAAACAATTTTCTTAATATTAAGAGTTTAACCAGCTGTTAGTCTTTTAAAAAACAATTTCCTCAAGAACTGGTTTGTCTTGGTAGCATCACACCACAGAAATGCTTAGGAAAACCAAGTCCAAAGAATATAGGGCTTTTAAAAACCTCCTGTTCAAAACAGGAATTCATTTGAGCCACATCAAACTTTTAAAAACTCAGGGAAATTAATAAGCAACACAGATATTGTTGGGATGGGAAAACACCATTTAAAAATAAAAAGCACAAACCCATGTGGAACTGTAAGATACTGTAAATTCACAGCCAACGTACATACACCTTGCACAAATTTTTAAAAAGGTGAACAGATGTTCTAACGTAACTTAAATGTGCATCATCACACCAGTATATGTTTCTGGGTGCCACATGAGCAAATCCATCATGAAAGTGCAGGACTATTGCACAATAGACAACCTTGCACCATTCAATTTCCCATTCTGACCAATGCCATCAGGCATCCTATTGAGGCTCTGATTACAGGTACGTTTATGCTTTCAACTTTTCCTTCTCAAGCATTTTCACTGTCATTGCAATGGTCAGCTTGAGAGGTGGTGGTGAGGAAAGGGCTAATCAACAGCTTTCTAGAGACCTAGTGCTTTTAAATGGGCAATTGGATGTCACTTATGTCAGTTGCTTCTGATCAAGCTAGCAGGATAAGCACAGCAACCACACAGGGATAGTCATACAAAACCAGTAACAATAGCACCAAGCAAGTACACCTCTTGTAGTAGTATTCCAGGCTTCAGTGAAATCATATCTCACACAGACAGCATCTAAGGAATTTCATTCTTCAGCAATCAAAGTCCATGTCAAGAGTTCACAGGATTACCACTATCCTAGATATCTTCACCAATCTATTCCCCATCACACTCAAAGCATTCAGACCCAGCAGGGCTAGGTGAAAAGGGTATGTCAGCAATCGAGTTGAATGCAAAGCAATAATCTTCTGAAAGTGACATCGCTAAAGCCCTCAGTGGCAAGCCTGTAGTTACTATGACACAATGCCAACTTCAGCTGTTCTCCAGAATAAGGCTGAGCAGTATCATGCAAAAGTGAAAATGGAACAGAAATGGTAAAACCTTGAGCAGATAGATGGGCTCTATACAGATAAATATTTCCAAACAGCAATGGGAATGACTTTTCTCTTATTCCTACTGGCTCAGGGGAAGTGCCACAGTAACAGTAGTTACTGCACATGCAAAGAACTACACATGCAAAGGAAGTGGAGAAGCTTGTCTCATTCAGTTCAACAAGGCAGTAAAACTGACTGTCAGACTGCCTAAAGGAGAGTGCAACTGATAAAAAGAAAGGGTTAATATGTCAGCAAAACAGGAATGCCACCATTAGATTTATTTTTTTTAAATGCTTGGACATTACTGTGCAAGAAAAATAGTACTGTGCATTTTTTTTTCTTTAGTAGATAGGGATTTCACAAAATAGAGGGGAGAGGAAGGGAGAAGAATGTTAGCAGTAGTAGAGTTCTTAAAAGGCAATATTAACAATGTGTCCTTAATTTGCAGACATCCATTTGCCACAGTGCTGCTATGCTGGAAAGAACTTGTTTTGTCCCATCTCAAACACACACACTCCCGCGCAAAAAGCAAAACAAGTTCAAAACACTAAAGAACTTGCAGAACTTATTAACCAGACATTGCATTAAGACATTCCCAAAACGAACACACATATACACACACACAGGCAATGAAAGTTCCATTACGAAACATTCTGCATGTTTGAGAAATCACTTAAACACTGTAACTAACAGAACAGGTAAAAAAAGGACTGGAAGAGAAACTAGGGGATGAAGGAAAGAAAATAAGTTTGAGAAGGGGAAAGAATAAAATATAGAGAACAAGACTTGAAAGCTGGAAGAAAGAAGTCTAATACAATTAAACAGCCTACTGGAAGAGGAAGCTCCCTGACAAAATGTGGAAATCTTTGATTTAGGGTAACATAAGGGGCATGGATCAAACTCTCTGCTGAGATGGATCAAACTCACAAAAGCTCATTCAGAGGCTGCCAAATCCATTGCTAGAATGATGTAAAATTCAAAGTCTCCATTCTTGCAGCTTGCCATCTCAAATCCCATCACAATTAACTACATGTCTGAGGTGCAAATGTGCTCCACTGTTAACATTCCTCACTATCATATTTACACTCACACAGAAGTAAGAGAGGTACGTAAAAAAATGGAAAACAAAGTAAGGTCTTCTAGTAATAGCGATAAGCAAGGACAATTCTTGAGAATTTGACTTTGGTGGATCGGTTTACTCTGCTGTGTTTTAAGATCTTGAATTTTGAGCCAAGGCAGGAAATATTCAAGTGTTTAGACAGCATTAAGCAAAAAAACAAACAACAGATGGGAGATGCTGACAAACAGCATGGCAGTAAGCTTGAAAGCATATGCACACTCTGCATGTTTAATAACTAATGTTAAAAGTGCTTGTTAAAAAATAATAATCAGGATATAATTTCGTGGCAATCCTGAAGCCACTTACTTCAATATAATCACGCTGAAATTAAGAGAACTGTTGTGATTTTAAAACTACTCAGCTTTCGGATTTAAATTTGTATCACATATTTTAAAGTTGGAATGGACAACTCAAACAAGGTAGTGAAGAGAGCAAATGACAAAAAAGCACATATAAAGGGGGACTGTCCTGTTTAAAGTTAATATGCTGGTATTGACAGGTTTGAGGAGGGTGGAAGAGAGCTTTGTGAAAAAAGGCATTTGGGGCATGTTTGCTCCCTGACTCCAGAGAGCCAAGAAAACCAAGCACATCTAACTTCTTGCTTGAGCAGCGAGAACTCAGAAATATTCCCTATGTAAACATGCAGCATGCTTGAGTAAATACTCATTTTTAAACTTTTTTTTCCCTTTTCTGTGGCAGTGGAAAATGCAGAAGATTCAACAGGATACAGTAGATAACTTGGCACAAGAACAAGAGTAGTGAGTCATGATTACACTGATAATAGGCATTAAATAATTTTGTTCATTATCTCACAATACTATCAGAAAGCCTTAGCAGTGCAACATCAGGAGCAGCAGGACACCACCTTCAAAGGGACCAAAGGACAGCAGCTTTTGAAGAGTTTCATATATGCAATCCAAAAGGTCCTTCATGCAGCCTAAGTTAACTTCCAATCAAATGTACTTTCTGTTCATCACAGTGTCTGAAAAAATGACAGTTTTGTGAAAAGAAAAACTGTTTTAAGTGGCCACATTAGAAACCTGATTAAAATATGTTCTAAAAAAGTTTGTCAGTCAAACCCGTTTGTCAGTCACACCTGTTGCTTTTGTGACTCTGCTTGCACTTGGTACCTTCCAAGGTCCAGGAGTTATAGTTTTCTTCACAGGAGATCTGCTCTCAGTTTTGAAAATTCCATCCTCTTTGGTTTTATCAGCTGACTCCAAGTCATTGTCTCTGTATTTGTTCAGGACAACAGGCTCTTCTGCTTCAAGCCTAGTGTTGTTATCTCCAGAAAGTACTGAATCATCAGGAAGACCTGCCATTTTTAATTGGTTAGAGCTTTTGATTTTTTCATCTTCCAGTGTTTTCTTTCTAAGTTGATTAGCTTCAGAAAGTGGAAGAGACTGCTCCTCTAACTTGTAATGTGCTGTCTCTGAAGGGCATTTCTCATCCTTCCCAGATATGTTTTGCTTTGTGACTTCTTTTATGCCTCCTAATTTCACTTTTTCTATTGGTAGCACAGTTGTGTGCTTTTCACTAACAGGTGTTCCACTTTTAAATTCTGTTAATCTTTGCTCTGTGTTCAGATTATCTCTGCTTCTTTCTTTCTTTGGATATTTCTGGGGACTGGCAGATCTGCCTCTCTTTTCCTTGACAGGGACTTTCCCAATATCTGCACTCTCAGTGGTTCCCGGGTGCTTGTTTTCACGTCTTTTGGGACTTTCTGGCTGGTCTAAGCAAC